AGCTAGAGTATGTTTAAAAATCTAACTAAGTTGGCAACTGGAATTCAACACACAGTCAAGTAAAACCTTGCTTACAGTGACTTTTCTCAATTGGTTAGGCATTAGATGATGAATTTACAACAACAGGAAAGCAAAATCAATGGCACAGTAGACCTATTTCTGAATGGACCACCCAGCAAGTATGCCACTGGTTAATGGGAATGAATATGGAACAGTATATTAAAGAGTTCACAGCTATGAACATAGATGGACAGCAGTTAATGCAGCTCGACAGTGAAAAGTTAAAGGTATGTGAGTATCCCAGGATAGATTTCTGTATAAATTTCACTGCTTATTCAGACATGGTTTTAACCTACAAAGTCTTGTTTTCTTGTTTTCATGGCTTTCTAATGGATTGGATAGAGTTTTGTTTTTGAAATACTTGGGAGACTATACAGATAGATGAGAATGTAGTAGTTGGTTGTACAATTAAAGACAAGATGGTTTGAATCAGAAAAATACCAAGTATTTTTTCCTTGTTTGCATCTTGAGGAAATCAAAGTAAACATAATTCCCCAAAGGGTCTTGATATCTCTGTCATCAATCTTGGCCCAATTCAAATGCATAGAATTGCAGGATCCAGTTTTAGAAATCTGTTTCTTCCACATCTCCTCTTCAAATAGGCTCAAATCCTATCTGATGACCTTCTAAATGTTTTTGTCTTTTAATCCTGCTGAAAACATCTATTCTAAATCTTTTTTTGGAGCCTTTTCTTGCCATTTTTACCTGTGGAAGCTGGATGGTATGTACCCCTTAGTGCTAGGAACTTCTAAGTTTTTTCTTTCTCTTTAGATTATTAGATGACATTTTGAACAGGCAAGATGTGTGACTAAAATGAGGTTGATTGGTCTATTCTGGCATAAGGCATATTATTGTTAATGATCAATAGTAGGATTTGAGTGGTTTAGGGAGAAAAAAAAGTGTCAAACTTCAGTCTCCAAAATACACGTGCATTTTAGAACAGATGTGCAACACTAAAAGTCCTGTAATTTGTTAAATAAGTAGTTCCTTGGACACAGAGGAAATACCTGTTACTGGTCTGCCAAATGACTGTCTCTATTTGGGGAACTTCAGATGTTGAAGCGTAAAGCTTAATTTATACCTAATGCCATTCAGAGTTCCCTAGAGTGTGAGCGAGTGCTGTCTGTAACTTGGAATCGGGTACTGCCATCTGCTGATCAAAAATCAAAGCGGGCCATTGACTTACTGAATACACTTTTTAATAATACAGTCTAAAATCCTTAATATTAAAAATTAAAGAGTAGTTACTGAATATAAATTCCTCTTGTATAAAAAGAGCTAGAAAAATATTTTAAGACTACTACTTATTATGTGGTTTGCTGGAAATTCTTAGGTGTCTATGTGTTTGTAAAATGCAACAAGAAGCTGTTACTGCACAACCAAACAACAGTAGGCTCTTGTTTCCGTACTTGCCTTGTTACTCAGATGATAATTTACAATACCCTTGAGGACCTACATCCTTATTTTTCAAATAAACAGAATATCTTGCAGCAAAGTGATTAACACTTTCTTAAACTGTTCATGCACAAGCACTGTTAAGTGCTGTTGGAAAAATTAATGACGAGGTGTTTTTCTTGTTTTTCTTTTTTTTTTTTTTTTCTTCCCCCCTCTCAAAGGCTTTGGGAGTTTCCAGTCAAAATGACCGATCAACAATAAAGAAAAAAATTAAGGATATTAGAAAAACACAAGAAAAACTGGAAAAGCAGAAGGAAAAGGTTCAAAAGAAGGAGAGAGAAGTTCGCAAGACTGGGAGAGTGGTAGCCACTCTTGAATCAAGCTGCTAAAATGACCCTGTTTTGTTTTAGCTCAGACTTGCTTCATCTTGAGGAAGGTCAGCAGATTTGTATATAATTGTAAAATTGAGGGAGGAGGGAAAGTGCAACAGTTTAACATGGTAGGTGTTTTTTTACTTTTTAATTATGGTCCCTCCCCATTACAACCCGATAAAATTAAATAATGTTTTCAGTATTTTTATTCCTAGTTGACTCTGCCTGTACTAATAGACAATAATTTAACTTTCTGCCTTAAGTAATATTTGTGCTTCTAAGACCTCATATGCCCTTTTCATTACAATTGATGTTTGTGAGAAGTAGAGTATGTTATTAAAAATCATGCCAGTATTAGTCAACCAGCATTTGATAGAGTTGAATCTGATAGAGGGACAATAGAAAAATCCTGCCAACAAATTCAGTCTGTGACAGTCTGTTTATCTGTTGCCACTAAAGATGTATAGTAAAAATTAAGTTTAAGAAAACAGTAATGTCAAATTAATTTAAAAAGAAAGCATGTATTTCAAATTTATGGATTATTTTGTTTAAATTCTTGTATTTCTGGGATTTTCATTCAAAGTTCACTGTAGTAGCACATTGTTTTTGAATTCTGTGCATTGGAATTTACTGAGAAAATAACAAGAAATATTAAGTAGTTTTCACAAACTACATACACTAAGCATAATATTAAGTTTTCTGTACACTACACATATGGTGTTGGGACAAGGTTTAAACCTATAAATAAGATCTTTTTTTAACCTATTTTTCCTAAATACATAGTTTTATAGATTTATGCTATGAATAAGATCAATTTGCAATACATGTATTTCTCTTTTCTACCTGCTACAAGATTTTTGCGGACCAAATTTATATATTTGCTAATTTTAAACTATACTGTTTTTCAAACTTAAAATACTGAGGAAAGAATTGTAGGAAAAATTATCACTGAAGCACTGGGTTTCTGCATTGTATTTAAATGTTCGATTGTAGACTACAGGTTATTTCTCTTTCTTTAAAGGAGGATTTGATTCTCAGAATAGTTTAGAACATGAATTGGTGTTTTGTATATTTTACATACTATTTTCTAGAGACACTACAACAGCACTTCCTTTAATTAGATTATTCCAGAGACATAGACTAGTTTAATCATCAGTTCCACCATAGACTGGACTAGAACAAAACTTACATAATTCGTTTATGTGAACCAAGTTCTCCTTTAAATCTATGGACTGTTTTTCCTTTTAATTAAATGAAAGAACTTCACTGTTGCTGTTTCAGTTTTCATTTTTTTTTTGTATAAATGTCTTATGAATTTCGGTAAACGGCCTGTGTGGGAATGCTTCTGCACAGTATGCATTTCCAAAATAAAGTCTGAAAATCGTGGTAGTAATTACGTTTAAAAAGAGGTTCAATTTTCAGTTTTGTGCATTAATTCTTTGGTCAAGATTTAACTTATTTACTTTGTTTCCAGTATCTTTGAGTTTGTAGTCCAAACTTAAAGATCTTGAGCCAGAGAGGAATGCCGCCCTACTGGTAAAAGAGAAAGGAATTAAAAGTATGGAATGATCAAATGCTTAGGATCACATATGTAAAACCACTGTTCAGTTAATTCAGTCAATGAAGTTTATTTCTCCATTAAGTTTTTTCAGCTAGAACAGAGAATATTGATACACTATGTATTACCTTTTTACTTTAAGCCTACTGAACTGAATGTTGCACCCTGTGAATAGTTTGTTTCTCAGGAAGGAGACTAGTGGAAATAATGGTTTCAAAGATTTGCCTGTGTGCAGAGCTGCTGTAGTTAAAGCGGGTGCCATAACAGGGATGATAAACTCACCTGGCAAGAACACTGATTATCAGAGACCACAGCATTTAACATCTGTCAGATGCTAAACAAGAAGGCTGACGCCACGGAACTAGCTTAGTAACAAGCCACAAAACCACCAAACTGAAAGTTTAATTTTTAAAATAGTTTTAATGAGTAACTGTAGTGATTCTTTCAAAAAATTAAGTTAACATAAACCAAGATTAATTTTACAGTGCAAGACTGAGCTCATTTGCATACAAAACTATTAATCTTAGCATTTTGATAGCTGGTATACTGACTTTCTACAGTGATTCACTTCAACTTAACCAGTGTGCTAGCGATGACTACAGTACAGTAATGAAAGACAAGAATTATCTTCTGAACTTCTGTTTAAATCAATGTAATCAAAGATCAAACTTGTAAGTAGGGTTAAACACTGTAAACCAAAATATTACTACGTTTGTGTTTTCACCACAATCATTTGGGGCGGTGGTGAGGAGATAAATACAAATGTATTTACACAACAAGTTGTTCTAATAATCAGAATTCAATCAGTAGCTAGCTGAGATCCTGAAAGAGGTTTTATTTCAATACCATATGAAATACTTTAATAGACTTTCTAGAAAACAGACTGTGTAGTTCTTAGATATTACTACAATCAGTTCAATTAAGTTAAATGTTTAAAACTTAGCATAAAAGCTAGTATGTTCAGAGTTGAGTTTTTGAAATCCCTTGCTGGTAACTTTCAGCTTTAGTTGTAGCAAAAGCAATAGCTGCAAGCATTCCCTCTAACTTTTGCACAGGCTGTTTTACAATATGTGGAATTTCTCACATACATCCTCTTGCAGGGTTGAAGAAGAGAACAGCTATAGATTCTGCTCACTTGTAGCCATGCAGATTGAAAGGTATGCCTCCCTCAGAGTATATAGTGTGTATATAGTCCATTCTGTAAACTACCCTCGTTAAAGTGACCTACATTAGCTTGACCAGGGTATAAAACAATTTTATTTTTTCACAGAACTAAGCTAGGGAGGTAGTAGGTGATAGTCTTTAATCTGGCTCAGCTACAACTAGAACAGCATGACTTCAGTTTCTAATACCAGCTATTTCTTTCACTTGTGGTATCTCACCTTCTGCTCCGTGCAGAGCTAGCAAACTAGCACAATTTAGGCTTATTCTTTGTGAGAGGGATTATGCATGTCTGTTGCAGGACAAAAATCGCAGAATTACATGCAATGAATTAACTGAGAAAAGGATTAGTTCTCAGCATCTTTAATTGTGTCACTCCTAAAATGTTCAGGAATGACAGGGATTGAGATAGAACACCAATGTGTATGACTTGAACAAAGTGGGCACAATAGGCATTAGAAGAAGTTGAATCCTTTATTAAAAGAAGGACTTTGTACCTGAAATGTAATACTCATTCCACTCTCTATCTTTCCCAGAATGTTTTGACAGTTTGCCTTTGATTAAACACATTCTGCTTACCTTATTTATGTTCTAGTTTCCACTTACTACGTAAATGAGGCCAGAAGCACATCACAAATACAAAAGCCTTTTCAAAAACTGCTAATTTAACTTTTTCTGAAATACTCCTGAGAAAGTAGTTGCTCTTGTCAAAGAAATAGATGCCCAAATAAGGGCAAATTTTAAAAATCTGTTCATTAAAATAGTTTCCATTTACAGCTGTAACCTAACATACCCGAGTCTGAGATCTTACTAGGGCTAGAACATTGATACTGAATTTTGGTATTACTTACAGAAATAAAAGCAAATGCAAGACAGCATATTTTTACTGTACACATGCCAAAACTGTTTGCTAATTCACAATGATCATGGCAAGATAGATTTTTCACATATATTAAATATTCACATTGCAACCAAAGAAGTATGACTGATACCACATACCTGAGATACATTATACCAGTGGTAGCAGCTAGAACTGATTTATTTATTTTTTTATCCTTACAGACCTAAGTGTGATTTCTACAGCTGCAGAAAACATTGATGTAGGCAAGGTGTGTAGGTAACATATCTAACTTTGCAAAATTAGGCTTCAGCATGCTTAAGATAAAAGAATAGAAAGTGCCATACAGGTGCAAAGGTATAGCAATGAGCTCCTCAGTATTTCTTCCATGAGTTTTCCATTAATCTGTAATTTGTATAATTAAAAAATGCTCTGGTGGGCTTTTTCAATAATTCTTCTATTAAAACAATTTTGTAATTATATGAATTAATGCATTTCTCACCAGACGTAATACAAATTACATTAGTCCCTGTAAAACCCGAAATCACTGCTCCCTTGACGTAGCTACTGAAAGTAGTCATAAATAGAAAGTGAAACAAATTAACTGTGACTTTCTCACTTCAAATGTAGAAGTATGTACAGGTTTGGGGATTTTCTTGGGGTTTGTGGTTTTTGTTTGTTTTTTTAATTCCAGAAAAGAGTAATTGCATTAAGCCTTCTGTTATTCCACTTAAAATTACTTTCACACATCAAATGTGGCTCAGCATCCTGGTGTAAATCAGGTCTTTTAAATTCCCTTTACAGACATACCTACTTCTTACGAACGGTTGAGGAAAAAGCTATATACTGCGAAAAGTGGTCATGTCCTTTGGCTCACTGCTTGGCACACACCAGTCATCGGCTTCATGGTTTGCTTTATAATGTTTCCAGGCTGCTTTGTTATATACAGGGAGTCTTTCAATTGATTCTGTTGATAAGGCCTGTAAGTAGAGAAGACTGTAGCTGATGATTCTTTTTAATTGAAGTTACAGTAACAGAACAAGGAGTCCCATTAGCAGTTATATTAGAGTTGCTGATAAACTTAAAATGGTGAAGTGTTACATCATACCTTTATGTAAATAACTGCATCTGTACCATAGCCTTCTAAGGAATACAGTTTCAGGTCTCCTTGGAAGTACTGTGCGTACAGACGTGATATGGGTAAGCCATAACCAAATCCAGCCTGATCCAGGAGAAAAAGTGTATTTTCATTAATTGCATCAATCAGTGGTGTTTTCTGTTTAAACTTAATAGGTAAACAGACAAACTAAGCATGATGTTTGATGGTAAGAGAAGGAGTTCAAATGTTAATTCTTATGTCCCCCAGAACCATGATACACCCCAGAAATGGAAGAATGCATGGGTGATTATGAGAAAAGGGTTTTATCCCTTTGTCACAGGGCTGTTAGATAACACTTCTTGCATTACGGTAGCTTTCTCAACAAGACATGACATGATTAGAGAGAAAACTGTACTGAGTCTGTCTTGTGCCTCATGGAGCTGCTAATCTTAAGAACACTGAGTACTCAAGTCAGATACATTTCATCATCAGTATGTATTAAAAAGTTCCAAGAAGCAATGTCTGTGAATTTGTAGCTTACATTAAAATTCTGAAAAGCCCTGTCTGCAGTAGCAGGACACAGCCCTGAAGTGTTAAGTATTTTTTTTTTTATTTAACCTACTGAATTTTAGAGATAATTTCCTGATGAACATACACAACACTTCTCTGTGAAGATCTAGTGTTAGAGTTGCAGTCGTCTAGAGGCAGAACACTATATACATTTTTAAAAACATATTTTGAATGATGCAATGTGAGAAAGTAAATTCAAGAAAGCTGTTCAGAGCTTCTTACTGAGAGGTAAGACTTTATTTCTTGTGCATCTATTAAGTTCACGTGAGACCAAAGTGGATTCTTCATACATCTTGTCACATCTGCATACCTTCATCCTTGCTGGGAGGATGGTACAACTGGCTACACAGTACAAATGAAACTATGGACGTGATGTGAAATAATTGCTGTAATTATTTTTCCTTTCATTCAGTGGCCACAAAAAGAATTCGGAGTCCTGTCCTTACTACAGTACATGCAGCATAGCCAGGTGTGCTACTTGAGGTAGCTGATCTTTATATTTGATAGAGAAAAACAGAATCTTGGACAAGTTTAATTAATTTTTGATATTTTAGGATTTTATGCAATTTTCCAGTTATTTTCAGAAAAGTATTTTAATTAAGGTATAACATTCAAATGGTGGTACTCATTATATCTATAAAATCAGTACTTCATAGTTTCGGCTAAATGGTTTCTTTTGTGATAATTAAACATACCCAAGATGACAAGGTGTAAAAGATTTGCATACCAAAGGTGTAGCTCGTGACGTCTCAACACGTGGACGTGGTGCTGTTGAATACATGTAGTTGAACAGTCTGTCAATTTTCCTCATAGGAACACCTCCACCACGATCACTCATCTGGTACAAGAAGTACATAATGTACCATTATGTCCCTGAATACATTTTTATAAAAGACAGCTCTCAATGACCCAGAGAAAGTTCAGGTAAAACATAATATAAAATTGTCCCCATTAAATTACGGGTTTTCTTAAATTCTCATCTCTTGGCTACAGCAATGACCAGAAAGAGATGAAGCCTTCCCCTTCATCCCTTATCCAAACCATTTAAATAAAACACTGCTCTAAGAAGCATTTATAATCTCTTGGAAGCAAGAAAATTCTACTTAAACTGTGCATTGCTTTTAACTTGCTCATAGTTTAATTTTGTCTGAAGTCACTATCTCTATCTTTTATTAAATGCCAGGTTCTGTGTATTTTTATCTTTATTCCTCAGGTATACTGCCAGTTAAATATAATCTATTAAAACCTATTACTGAAGGAGTAAATCAGAAGAGTTGTTTTATTACAGTTTAGTTAGACCTATGAAAAAGCCAATGCTTGCAGCTGGTCTTTGAAATCCAACATGAATGTTGTACAGAAAAAGAAGAAATTACTGCAAACTGTACTTCAGGGAGGTTTGATTTGCATGGAATATACAATGCCTATTTCCCTTTTTTCAGTTGTTTCACAGCTGTATAGCTCTGTCATTGTCACATACAAAACACTGATATTGCAGTTGTATAAAGATGCTACTTCATTTTTAGTCATGGCAAGACATGAGCATGACAAAAGCACAGAATTCTATTGCACAGCCTTCAGTGTGACTGTGCAGCCTCCTTGTTAATTTTCTACTGATGCAGTATGTGAAATTCCATAATGGTCTTTCACTTACATACTACAAAATCACATACAGTCTATTGTTGGAACCAGACCACCAGCTAAAGTTAGTAATATGCTGCCTATGACAGGGAAAAAAAATAATCAAAATAACCTTCAAAATAATAAAAAAAGTGGGTACCTTCACAGTTAAATCCTCATTTCCCAATGTGACGTGTACATGAATTGGAGGATAAATGCATCGGTCAGCATTATGTTCCATGGTGGCTCTCATTGCATTCTGCAATTTTCAAGTACAACTTAAATCCTGTTCTTACCACTTTGAATATTATCTTAAAATATCAATCTAGGCAAGTTATTTTTATCACATATTTCAGAATTGGGACAAATGTATATGGTTTTAGAATAGTTTTTTAAAATATATCTGGTTTATTCAGTATTAGTATTACTCAGTATTAGTATTTACATTCAGACTTCAAATATTTAATTTTTTTTAAACAAACGTCTGAATATTTTAATGTGTAGTTTTATTTGTGTAATTCTTTACAATGCATAGTACATGCAATATGACACAAAGATCAAGAAAAGTCTAGAATTTAATTGCTTGAGGAAAGCTCTATAGTGCCTGTTACACATTATACCAGATTTGAAGATGTCCCCAAAATTGTATATCTTATTCTCACTTGCTTTATTAATTAATTTCTTTATACATTATAAGATTTTTTAACAAAGTTGTCTACTCAGGTGTCAGATATATTCAGAGGCTAGGCAAAGGAGATACATCTACCAAAGCTGTTCATTTTCTATGCAGTTACTATTTGTCTAAACAGTATCTTCCTACAGTCAAATAGTGAGAGGTTTGCACTTGCATAAACACACTGCTATCTAGAGTTGGTTTAAAAAGTCAAACAAATACACGTCTTCATTTAGTGAGGCTGTAAAAACAATTATGTAATGGTAAGTGCACAAACCTTGAAAAGTTCAAAAACCATGTGATAGAGATGTGAGGGCACATACACGACTTGCATGGGCTGTCCTGGTGATTTAGCTGGAGAAAAGAGAATCTAAATCATTAAATAGCGAAGTAGGTATCTTCTATTCCTTTCTGCAGTAATTGAAAATATTGGTGAGAGAATTTACAAGAGAAGGAAAATTTGAACAGAAATATTTTGGAAAGTTGTGTGTTAATCAAAAGTCATACTCGAGCTTTTTGGATGTGCTTGCTGCTTTAGAAATTAATCTTAAAACCATTATGGCTTTAATGATTAGGGCATGTAATAGTTGCTTTCTAATACCTATGAGGAGGTTATCATGAAGATTCAGTCAAGCTCTTCACATGGTGGGAGAACAAGAAACAGTGAATGTAAGATGAAGTAACAGAGGTTCAGACTGGACATAGAGAAAAACTTGTTACTGTGACAGTTAAGCATTGAAACAGGTTGCTCAGAGATGTTATGTAGTTGTCATCCTTGGAGGATTTGTAAGACCAAACAGGATAAAGCCCTGAGCAACATGGTCTGACCACATCGCTGTCCCTGCTTTGAGCAGGAGGTCAGGCTAGAAATCTCCTGAGGTCCCTCCCAATCTAAATTATGGCCCTATACTGGACCAAATAGTTACTACAACATAGCCTATTCTTGGATTCATGTAGAAATGAGCTAATTTCTAACAACAAACCTTGACAAAAATTAAATAAGACAATTCTGTCTATAAAAGTGGTATAGTTTTCAAACATCTTTTAAATAACAAATTCTAGAAAATATATCATGGGAACACATTCATTAGATCAAAAATTAAGGAGAGGTTGCTCAGAAAATTCTGCTGGCTCTTAAGGTTTTTTCAGTTCAACACATCAATAATTTCTCACTAGACTGTGTTATTGACCAGTGCTTTATGAACATAAATGTTGGAGACTAGTGATGTCAAAAGATTTAGAACAAATTATGTACCCATCAAAAATAAAAGAGGGGAGTGGGAAAAAAACAAAACCAACCAACCAACCACACTTTGAAATACGCCAGGTTCCTGTCTTCAAGTTAACCGCTTCCCTCCATGCCTTCACCCCCAGGTCCCATGCCTAAGGTTTAAATAATAGTGTCTGCTCTCAGCTGTGGGCAATGAATGTGCCTTTGGCCTGGATCAGGTTTCACTCACCTTCACAATTCATTGAGCAAAAGGTCACACCTTTTAAAAAACTGGACTATTTGTTCTGGCTTCTGGAGCACATACACCATTAAATGACGCCTCAGTACCGAGAATTAGCTAGCGTGGCTGATAGTTTCCTACAACTGTTTTTAGTCTCATACTCCAAAGATGGAGATAAACTCCTTAACCTAGATACAGAGTGACAGGTTTGTACAGTACGAAGAAAAGATCTGGAATATGTAGTCAAGGCCGCGCTTTGCCTTTAGCTTCATAGGCCAAGTTACTCTGGTTGCACTTTGGTTTTTGCAGTTACTTGCAGAAGAAATTTTGATTGCTTGTTTTTGAAGGTCTGTCTGAACTTGGCATTTAGTATCTTGAAAAGTAGTGAGTAGTGTCAGAAAGGTTCTTTAGCGTTCAGCAGGACTATGAGGATCATAGCTGACCTCAGATCATAGCAACACAGTTGTAAACTGTTTTTTGAAGTCACAGCCAATGGGTTCAAGTAATTTTTACCATGACTTGAGTGTATTATATCTAGTTACAACTACAAGAATATGATAGAGAAGCGTCACAAGAAATGCAGAGAGGGTGAGATGCAGTAGACAGTGCAGGGTAAAGACATACCTGAAACCTTAGGGAGGGAAGGAAGCTGCTAACATTTGTTACATCAACAGCTGTCGCATCAAAAACTTCTCTACTGATTTCAGTTTTCTAATTAAAGGGAGGAATAGGGAAAGCTTTCTGCCACATTAAAAAAAAAAAAAAAAAACACCCTAACTATTTATGACAGTAGATACAAATAACACATTAACTATATGAAAAGTAGGACGTTTCACCACCAGCTACTTTAGAAGAAGCCATTACTACATTCAAGAGTGCCTTGTCCCATATTCTCTTACCATTCAACTCTTTGAGGATGAGTTCTGGAGAGCTCATGTAATATAAATCACAAAGTCTCTTGGCACTTTCATAGCCATCTATAATAAAAACACCAAAAGTTACATTTTTTTTTTCCTCCTTTCCAGTTTGCCAAAAAGAAAAACAAAAATTGAAAAGACTGTGCACTGTCAGGGAGTTTTTGTGTGTTCTCACAAAAACTGGGTTTATAGGAAAAACAACAAAACTGTGTTACATTTTAAATGAAATTTCTGCTCCAGATAGGAAAGAACAGCATACAAATATCAAGATGTGTATTGGCTCTCGGTATAGACATTCATTTAAGTTTTCAGGATTCTTGTTCTTATCTGCTGAATTTACCTCTAATAACTTCAAGAACACTGCAGCTAGGGTCAATGCTTCCAATGTGTTTTGGATGAGCTGGATTAATTTTCCCACCAAACAGTAAAGCTGCCAAAAAAGAAAATATTATTTAACACCCAATATGATTTTATAATTTTAGTTTGTATCTTCAGTTTTGCTGAACAGAAATGTATAGACAGTTTATAATTCCAATCTTCACCATACTTGAAATCCTAGTATTAATAGATATTTCAAGAATTGTGTTATAAATTAATTTGTAAATAGCAAACTGTATTCCTAAGAAGCATTTAAGTATGTATTAGGCACTTAAAAATGGAAGGAAAATACACTGACATAGTACAGGTATTATTTCCCCTCCTTTCAACAATGGCACTTACAGTGTTGATTAAGGAGCATTCTAATTGAAATGCGACTCATGTAGAAACGGTCTAAAAAATACTGCACATTCTGTGAGGTCACTGGATCAATGCCAAAGCTTTCCTTGTACTCTATTACTCCTTGAGCCATCGTAGGAATTACATCATTGTGCCGATTGCGGATTTTTATCACAGTATCTGTAAAACTAAAATTAATACATTGTTAGTATTTCAATTGAATTTAACACTCTGGCAGATTGAGTGCCTACAAAAATGCAGACCGTTATGTACAGAAGTATCACAGGTGTGCCTACAGCAGTAAGAAGACAGGTCAGTCTCTTTACAGCATGTTTCAAGCGACTACTGTTGAAACAATCAGTACTCAACCATTATTATTTATAAAATCATTATTTAATTATTTATTATCTTGGTTACTACCAAGAAAAAGGGAAAACTGTGCCAACCATTTTCATGAAGATCATCCCGTGCCTGTCAAATGGCAGTCATGGTCAGCCAGCCATGACCAAACCTACTCTACAGGTGAGAAGTTCCATACATAAGGTCCAACATTACTAGGAAGGAACTGGTAAGCATTTGGGCAAGTTTAACATATTCACAGCTTCTTCAGTGTAACAAAAAAAAGCCCTGACCAGAATGATATGGCATAAAAGTGCTTTGTTTCATGTTTTAATGTACCCTCCTTTTAGGAACAGGGGTGATGTTACTGCAATTCTTACGTAAAGATTGGAGATAGCTGAAATTTTTCTTATGCTGTAGTTTTCTTGCCAGTCTTTCTACATAATATTAACATAATATTAACATATGTGACAGCAAATCCTTACCTATGAATAGCCCCTGAATCTTCTGAGCTTTTGTCCTTAAAGTCAAGGATCTCCTGAAGACTTTGGACATACCTTTAAACAAAAGAAACATGACAAAGACCGATTCTAATATGACTCCCCAGATCCCTTTGGTTTAGCAATTTATGGTCTTCCAAGGTTGCTTGTTTCCAAATAATTGTATCTGATATATCTCATTGACCTATCCCATGTGAATTTTGTTAGATCATGTTAAATCTATTCATGGTATCTTCTTCCAGAATTTCCAGAGGAATAAATTCCACAATTTAATCAGAATGCATAAAAGGCCTTCTTTGTGTTTTAAACCCAGTAGGTGATCACTTATTTGGAGGCCCAGCAAGTTCCTGTTATTAGAAAATCTTCCCAGCTTGTTCGTGATTTAAGTATTTCTGACATCTCTTTCCTTAGATGTGTCTTTTCTAAGCTGAAGAATTCTATTTGGTTTCTCCTCACGTAGATTGTTCCAACCCTCTGATTATCCCTCTTGCTCTTTTCTGTTCAGGATGGAGTGACTAAAACTGCATGCAATTCAGAGGAATAATGGGCTAACACAGTGGTACAATTATATTCCTCCCCATTTGTTACTTAGTTCCTAACACTGTTTGCCTTCTTGCCCATCAACTGACATATTCAGAAGAATATCGCCAGTAGCATCAAAATTTAATTTTCCTTTGTAAGCAAGCAAGCATACAGGGAGAGGAGGTTCCTCTCTGTGCTCTACTTTGCATTTGTCCAAGTGGAATTCATTTCCCATTTGATCAATGTCATGTAGTATCATGAGAATTTAAGCATTCGTGTTTCATTAAAAGCCTTCATCTTCATTGATAGCTCTTTTTATATTCAGTCATCTAATCAATCCCACTTATTCACTAGCAGATTTTCTGTTCCCTTTACTTTAAAAGCCTTTCCAGATAGCCACATGCCTTTAGCTGTTGCCAAGCAATGTCTTTGTTTTGCTTCCATCTTACAAAAGTTTATGCTTATGTGTAAGTTCCTTACTTGAAAGAAAATTCTACTTTTCAAAATATGTTTTTTTTATTTTAATAGCTTCGTATTCTTTCTGTTGTTTTACATATTTTGGCTTTGGGAGCTTCCTATTGCACTTTCTTCATATTTTCTATGCCTTTACTCTCAATCTGCAATAACCCGTCTTTTAAATGGTTTCTACTATCTTCTGCAAGCATTTTGTGCTTTAGCCTGCTTCTGTTGGTTTCTTCCACTAGCTTCTTCATTTTAGAAGTCCCCTATTAAACACTGTTCTGATGGATTTTTGTTTTTACTGAATTCTCATACATGACTATCTGCAGTACTTAATCATTTTTAATTCCTTGGTGGGTTGGTCCTAAAGGTTCTTTTCCAAGTCTGTAAATTTAGTTTCTCATTTATGTCACATTGGCATATTTATTCAGTCTAAATAAGTGATGTTCATGTAACGAGCACATGAAATGTTCTTTTTGTAGAAGGGAATGAGTTACCCCATTTGCGTATATGCAGAAGGTCACCCTTAAAGGTACGAAATTACATTGTTCTTACCAACTCTGCACCAGCTGAACTGAAGGTGTTCTTAGTAGGTTGTCTGGAAGCAGACTTATTTCCTTCATTATGTTTGCCAATCTCACAGGCAACTCTTGTCGCAGAAACATAAATGAAGTCTTTTCACAAGCATTTTCAGATCCTAAAACCAAAATATATATATGACAATATCAGAATAAAGTCAGTACTTACAGTAGAGAACTACACAAATTCTTACTTTCTTGCATAAGAAGTCTGTGGTTTGGTTTTAAAGTTGACTCAGCCAGGCTGGTAAGCCAATGTTTCTTCCATGGCAGCACCCCGTTTATATTTCAAAAGGTAAAGTCATATTGAAACCTACCAGCCCTGTTGAGGTAATGACAGTCTTCAATACATAAAGAGTAACTAGCACAGTAGTTGCAGACCCATACTCTTCAACTTTAAATATCGCTTCTATCCATGTAAATTGTTAATTTTATTTGCAGCAAACATTGACTGCAACTAGCACTGATCAAACAGTATGTCATTCTGAGCATGTCAGAGGGGCAAATGAAACCAGCAAACTATGGGAAGGATGCTCGAGAAGGTATCATGGTCCCATACACCCTGCTTGATCAGTGTTCTTACTGAATTACCACAACTCATATTTGGAACACTTTCAGAAAATAAATTTGTAATATTTCTCTCATTTGCAGCTAGATCTGTTGTAGTTTAAATTCACTGTCCTATAGGAACAGAAGACAGATGAGTGAATCCACATGAATGATGAGAAAGAAGTGAAAGCAGGACAAGTGCTATGCTTTGTGCTTAAGTCATTATGATAGTAGTTCTCCCATACATTTACTTTTTACATTTTTTTACTTTTTTAAAAGCTAGAAGCTAAATTCCTGCACCTGTTGATAACTGACCTGTCCTTTTATAAGGACAGGTGTCATCTGTGCGGGTGGTAATTAAGTGTGGTTATTAAGAACAAGACCTAAATTTACTCCCACAACACCTGTTTTGCTATGTGAGGAGGGTGTGGAATGGGGAAGACGCTAAGAAATGCTGTGCTTCATTTTCAGACAGACTTCTTTCTAGACTTCCAAGAGTGCCATGTAAACACTGTCTGAACTTAATAACCTGTTCATCTGCTGCAGTGAAGTACATACCTCAGGCTTAAGTGTTTCACAACAGGTAACTCCTAAAAAATTAACTCTGGTGTTTCTGCTCAGTTCACTCCTTCCATTTGGCAAGGGGGAGTTGGGGAAAAAGATTAAAGGAAGGGACATGGAAAAAAAAAGAACTTGGGAGTGTCTTCAACAGAAAAAATCTTCACCAAATTGAAATGGAGTAGCTTAGTTTGATGCATCCAGACTGAGATACATCATAAACTATGCTGATGACAGAATGTCAGTTAATAAGAAAGTGAATAGCTTACAAGAAAATCCTCCCCAGGAACACTTACCAGTATTACGCGTTGTCTACATATGACCTCTGCCCAGAAACCTTTCATTCTTCTCCCTAGTTAGATTGCATTTCAGGCATGACTGTTACTGGCCTTTCCCTTTTCTCAGGTAAAATTCCATGAACAAAGCAGACTGAAGGTATTGGAATGTAAAGATAATCTTCAAATGCCTCATATACTCAGCAAATGACATTCCACAGATTAGTTTTGTAACTGGAGGCCATATCTTTGCAACCCTGGGTCAAATATGGAAGACAGCTTAGGGTAAACAAGACTTCAGTGAAGGGGCAAATGACTGTTTCCCTGTGCAGCTATGGTCTATCTAGGTAAAGAATGGATAAGACTCCTACAGAAAATACTGAGCACTTAGAACCCAAGATATGACTGATGTATATGATCCAGACCTAAATTTGCTTATGGAATATTTAATTTGCTAGATCAAAACCTGGCGGAATTAAGAGTAGACGTTTAAAGTTAGCATTACCAAATTTGATGATTTCCTTTTTGATTGTTCTCAGCAGCAAAAGGAGCCAAAATAATCCCCAACTGAAACATCATCAGATTATAACGGCTACAGAATGACTTACAGACAAATACTGGTTCAGTGTTGTACTCTACTCTTTTTTTGCCATTATTAGTTTCTACTATCTGTTAATAAATTCTTAAGAAAGAGACATATTAAAAAAAAAAAAGTTAAAAGTTTTCAATATTATCTTTACCTTATATTCAGATACTAACAACAAAAAAAGCAGCTTAACTTTTGACATGAGTAAATACTGTGCCTTGAAAGTAAACACTGATTTTAAAGTAAGCATTATTTTATCATTATTTTAGTGGTAAAATAACACAGATCAAAGTGAACTCTGAATTGCAAGATTCTTTCCTTAAAAGTATGGTAGCAACAGAATATATTCTGGTGGGGTCCCTGTACAAATCTGGAGTTTTAAATATTGGATACATTTTATTACAACGTATGAAACATTGAACAAAGTGACAATGGTTAGTTAAGAGAAACTTTTCTTTGTAAATCTTCCTATTTATACAAAGTCTGGGGTTCTAGAATTAGTTCTCAGTTATGCTTTACTTACAAAAACATAAAAAGCAGTACAACTAATAACTAGTTAAATGTTTGTATACAACATTTATGTAAACATTTATGCACCAGAGTGCCTTGAGTACAGAAACAGCATGTATATGGCTCCATCCCCAGGTTTTGAAAAGGTGTCTTGGTGTGACTTACGAGACCTTTCTCTGTGTAGTCTTTGCTTTGAAGCAGAACTGAACAATTCCTGTGATCCCTTTTGTTTCCAAGCAGTCTGTCAAACCTGGGAGCATTACAAGTGGTTTTAGTGCAAAGTATAAGACTGAGTATCCCGATTTACTCATTGTCAAGGCTAGATTCCCAGTCCTCCAGGATAGCTCTTGGCGTTTGTGTTCTGCTCCTTCTCTCACACACCTTCTTAAACAACAGCACTTGGGTAAGGTATTTTTGTAGGGCACAAACGTGTAACTGAGAAGTGATGATTGTTCCAGCTCCTTGGCACCAGCTGAGGTTAAACGTCTCTTGTGCTTGCTATACCTTAAAAGGTTGCATGCTGCTAGCTTGCAAAAGGCTTAACAAATCTCACCTGAGTCACTACTCTAACAGTACCAACTGTCCCCACCCTCTTCCCAACGCTGCAGGTTTTGCAAAAAAAAAAAAAAAAAAAAAAAAAAAAACAAACAAAAAAAACCCACACCAAAAAAAACAAACACCAAAAAACCCCAAATAACTACTTTTGTGATGCCAAAACCTGGAGGCTTCAGCTGAATTTCAACCTTGCCACAGTTCCAGTCTCTGGGGAAGGAGCCAACGGGGGCTCCCTTCTGGAAGGAAGCAGAGCTTTTTTTTCTGCCAAAAAGGCCAGTATTAAGAAGTGATAAGCAACGGCTGAAGAAGGCGGCAGCGCTAACACGGGGGGAGGGGGAGTTTGCGGCCGCCCCACCCCCGGTCCCGGCCGCTGCTCAGCGGCAGCTGCGGACAGCGCGGGGGCGGCGGCGGGCCGAGGGCAGGGGGCAGCCCGGCGGGCACTCACCGAAGTCCAGGAACTGCTTCATGGAGAGCGGCGAGGGGGAGAAGCGTGAGTAGAAGTCCACCTGCTGCGGGATGCTGCCCGAGGAGGCGCCGCGCAGCAGGGCGCGCAGCAGCCTCATGGCGCGGCCCTCGGTCCCCCCGTCAGCTCGGCTCGGCTCGGCTCAGCCCGGCCCGGCCGCCATTTCCCGCCGCGCCAGCTCCCCCGGCCCCTGCCCAGGCCGCGGCCTCCTCCGCCGCGCGGCCGGGAGGAGGTGCCCGAAGGGGGGGGTGTCTCCTCCCGGTCCAGCCCCACGCAGCGGCGACGGGGCGGAGGAGAGGGCGGCTCCGAGGGAGTGAGGCGGGGAGGGGAGCCCGGAGCGGCCCGGCCCCCGCGGGCAGGGGCGCGGGCCCCGTGCCTCGGCTACCCGCCGGGAGAAGGCGGCGCTTGGCTCCCGGAGGAGCCCGGCCTCGGGCAGGTACGGTGGCGTTACCCACGGGGGCGCAGGGCTAGCGGGGCGGGAAGCCGTGAGGGGACGGGAGGCAGCGGCCCGGAGGGGTGGCGGCGGCCGGGACCGCGGGGGCCCCGTGGCGGGCGGCGTGTGGGCTCCCGCGGCGAGGTCGAGGGGCGCCCACGCAGCGGTGTGGGCGCTCCGCCGCGGTAGGGCGAGATGAGGGTTGGCCCCTGCGGTGCACAGCGCGCTGGGGGCGGGCGGGCGGCGCCGTGCTGCCGCGTCCCTTCGCCGCGATCGCGGCGGGGACTCCGCTCCCCGCGTGGGTTACCCGCGGGGCGGACACGGGAGGTAGCAGAAACCCCCCCAAAAGCACCGGCTTTATTCATGCCGCTGCCGGCCGGCGTGAGGGCAGGGCCTCGCCCCGAGGGGTTTAAGCCGTGGTTTAACAGCGCTGTGTCGTCTTACTCGTGCTCCTTGTGCCCGCCCAGGTGCGGGATGGTGTGGGAAGGGGCACCGTGGCCTCCTCCAGCCCTTCGCGAAAAACGAAGGGAGGGATACTTCTGTTTCAGCTAACAGGAAAAAGAAAAAAAAAATACGGAGGGGATAAATAGGGCTTTGCAGATATACTCCCGGTCGGTCAACAATGAGCACAATATACGTCTGTCTGCCTTGGCTACAAAGTACTTGGGACCGTATGTCACCTAAATCCCTTTACCGGCTGTTAGGATACTAATGCATCGTGTGAGGTACCAAACAGTGGTATTGAATAGTTGCTTACCCTAATTGGGCAGAACTATCCAGAACATTAACAAAAAAGGCAATTTAGAGTGATTATATACATTTCTGATAAGCTTACTGCTGTGTAGATATTGAATCCTATGTACTAAAACAGTACAGTAGTGGATCAGGCTTTATATAGTTTGCTTCTTTTACTGTGGATACTTGTATTTGCCCCATAAATTTATCATAAGCAATCAACTCTTAAATATTGCTTGGTTTCCTTTAAACATGCCTTGTACCTGTGACTTGTCTGTGACGTGACAGTGGGCATGAATATCCAATAGCCCCTGCTACAGCAGGATTAATTCTGCTATTTGTATCACATTAATCTGTTCAGTGCTTTGTTGGATTGCTTGGAGCCTCCCATTAGAGAGATGAAGGTACCATCATGAATTAAGGGCTTTTTTATTTTATGTTGCATTGAAATAGAGAAAACATTGATTCAGTCTGTCTCCAGAGGTAATTTTCTCAGCAGTAACTGCACCAATAATATGTAAGAATGAAACAGTATTTCAGGATTAGACTGTTTCATCTGGTTTGTGGCCAGACTGCACCTCCATCTTGTGCTGAAAAATGAATGGCTTGTTCTGTTCTGGCCAGGGAGCAGTGGCTAATGGGGCGAACTAACAGCTCTTCTGTCTCTGTAAGTTGTCTACAAATACAGGTTACTGACAGATTTTTCTTTTGCTGTTTGTAGGCCACCCCCAGAAGCACCAAATAGTAGCTTACGCTACTCAAGTTTATAATAGATTGGGACTTCTGCTTATGAATTTCTGCACTTAAAACCATTTAATAATGGCCTCTCAGCTGTGAGCCAGCACTGATGTAAAGCAGTGCCTGCAAGCACTAAGTTGGGTATTTCTAAGTTGTAATTTCTTATGATGGCTCTGGATTGGTTTCATCTTTTATGCCTATATGTTACTGTCTTGATGCCTGATGTTTCAACTTACAGACATGCCTTAAAAACTGGCCTACTGCCTAAAGTTATCTTTAGACAGCAGTCCCCAGCCAGATGTGGCAAAGGCTGTCAGAGGCTTTAAATAAAACATTGCACTTTGCAAGGTAAGGCCCATTTTCATTTATTTAAACAGTGAGCACTTTTCTCAGTGAAAATCACACAGGGTGAACAGTCACAAAAGTAACTGTGGATAAAGAATTGTGGATAATTCTTTAAATGCTGTGTTCAGCCCAGAACAAAAACAGTCTCTTTACCTAAAGGCCTTTTCTTGATCTTCTTTAAATTACTGATCCATGTAAACGTGTTCTGTTAAAATGTTGGAGAATATTTTGAATTACCTTTCTATTTTCTCCCCCTTCCCCATCCCTTTTTAAAACCTGTTTCTCTATTGATGATCTTCCAGGGGCTTACTTTGATCTGTTCCAGTGTGACACCAGCTAGAGTTCTGATGTGCCAGTTTCTGTACGTTCTTATGCAAACCAAAAGGAGAAATGTAATAATTTTGTCATTTAGAATTTTTTTACTGATATTCCTGCTTATTGGTGTTCTTGAAATTGTAATACATCTAGATCCATAATTTAAATGAGACAGAATAAAGCAGCAGACTTCAAGGTAATTGAAAACATAGCATTTAGTTTTAACCTAAGCAATTACCTTTTTTTTTAAATTATGCAATGTAAGGCTTAGTAAGATATTTGGAAGCATAGCATTCTTTCAGGGTGTTCCATAGAAAGACTTCTTGGTTTGTTAAAGTGATAGTATATATAACCCCTTACCAGGAGTCACAGTTCTTGGTTGCTGTATATACTAGTGCTTTTTTTCCTTCCAAAGTAAGTGCGTCATACGTTAAGAAGAAAAGTTGCAAGGCACAGATATCCATAGAATGTATTTTTCTTTTCTTTCAATGCTTTATATGCTTTGCTATGATGCCTGCAGAGTCCTCTGATCCATCTATCCGTGTCTCTTCAGCTTGTGTTGTTACTCCTCACAAAGGCTTGTTGTTGTTCTTAGGTTTTTGTCAGTAAATTCAGCTGCTTTTGCTATGCTAGAATAATCTTAGGGTTACATTGGTTTGATGTGGCTTTGGTTTCTTTTTTGCAGGAGTAGAAATAAAAAGATACAAAAATGGCAACAAAGTTGGTCAAAAATATGGAGTGGCTTCTGTAGGAGTTATTGTTGTGGTGTGAGCTCAGAGGGCAACTGAGCACCACACAGCTGCTCACCTCCCCCTTCTTCCTCACAGTGCTGAGAGAGAGAAAATAAGTAAAGCCTCAGGATTTGAAATAAGGACAGGGACGGATGACTCTCCCATTAGGGTAAGGGGCAAAAGGCAGACTAGTTAGGGGAAGAAAAAAAAATAACATAGATTTAATACAGATACTAACAACAACACTTAACAGACAGTAGGACAGTGAGAAGCATTACCACATCTTGAAAATATCTTTGCTCACCTTCTCTTCTTCCCAGGCTCAGCTTTGCTCCAGCTTATCTCTACCTCCTCCCCCCAGCGGCACAGGGGGCAGGGAATAGGGGGTGCAGTCAGTGCTGCAGTTGCTTCCATCTTGGGGGGGGTGGGGGAAACTTCTAGAATGCCTTCCCTCTGCTGCAGCATGTTCCCCCTCTCACAGGAGACAGTCCTCCACAAACTTTGTTCAACTCGAGTCCCTCCCACAGGATGCAGCTGTTCTGAGCTGCTCTGGTGTGGGATACCCCATGTGTTGCAGTCTTCCCAGCACCAAACTACAACAGCGGGGGCTTCTTCCCACAGAGTCCCAGCTTCCTTCAGGCACAGCCACCTGTTCTGGCATGGGGCCCCCACAGACCAAATGTTGGCATCGGCTCCACTGTAGACCTCCACGGGGGGCGGCCCTGCCATCTCACCACAGGATACGGGGGTTGGTCTCTGCTCCAGTGCACCTTCCCCCTCTTCCTCTGTTCTTCCACTGACCTCCATGTTCACTTAGGTGTTGCAACTCTTCCTCGCAGCTGTTCCTCGCAACTCCCACTCCTCTTTCCAGTTTCCCCTTCTTCTTAAATACATTATCGCAGAGGCACAGCCACCATCGCTAGTTGGCTCGGCCTTGGTGCAGAGGTGGGTTTGACTTGGAGCCGGGGGAGCTTCTAGAAGCTTCTCACAGGGGCCACTGCTGTAGCCCCCTCCCCTGCTACCAAAAAAACCCCATGACTTACATAAACCCAGGACAGTTACCAAATGTTAGTAGATTCCAGAACAACGTACAGAGGGGTTGGCATGGTTTTACCCAGTGTATAATTTAACCTTGAAGTTTGTGAATTTTTGCCACGTGCAACTTTGTGATTGAAGATCAGAAGGCAATTGGAGAAATTTTATGTATCATAGATGGCTTTTTCTTCCATAGGAAAAATATACCACATAGTTACTGAAGTTGAGCACTAACTTTTTGTGGGAACAGGAGCAACAAACTGTCACCATCATGTCACTTAACTGTTGGCAATTGTCAGAGGAGGGGTGCTGATTCAGGTGGATCTGTGCTCTAGTCCAGGGTGGCTGTTTTTATGTTGTTCCTCCTTGTGAAGTTGGAATCAGTCATAGGCTGTCTTGTAAGCTGGCTGGCAGTGAGACACTCCTCAGCTCTGTAGCGTTAACTGTTGGTCCCCTCCATTTCAAGAAACCAAGCAATATCCTGCAAACGTTTCTTTTAATCAACTTAGACTTTGCATTATTTCATATGCTCCTGGAAAAATTATTTGACTTTTCTGTCCCTTCCTCCCCTATCCCCTGAAGATGCTGAGGTTGAGAGATAAGGGGAAATAAATAGTTAGCACCGTGTATCAATGGTGAGGGGGGTGTATCTTGTTCCGTGATAGTTAGGTAAGCAGAAGCAAGGACTCCTCTGTTTGTTAAAACCTCAGTTCTCTGCCTCTGGCTTCTGGGATGTTTGAGGCAGGTTTTGAGGCAGGTACGGCCCTGAAAAGTTGCTGCTTGCAAGTAACCATTTTGCAGAGCTAGAAAATGGAGGAGGAAAGGGGGTCTGTCTTCAAGTTTGGAAAGCACAACCTGCAGGTCCCCCACTCCTGTACAGACAGTATCACAGCCTGGCTGAGGATTAAGGCTGATTTCTGTGGTGGTCTCTCAGGGTGAGGAGCCGCTGTGATTTTTTTAAGGATGATGGTTAGGACTCCAGCAAGGCTTAGGAGGTTATAAGAGGTGTATAGTATTATGAATCCACAGCCTGGGAAGACAAATGGACATTTAAAGATGTCTGAGGACTGGGATAAAAACTGAAGCAACTTCTTACTCAGCCACTGCAGGGAAATAGACTGTGCCTGTTCTTGTCAGAGGCGGGCGCGGTGCCTGGTGAGCCGGCCGAAGCAGGGCCCTGTGCTGCCTCTGGCTCCCAGCGCTGCCCACGGCTGCCTGCCTGCTTCACCAGTGTGTTCTCCTGGGTTTTGCAAACCAACTGCTGACACTCTCACCTACTTACTCTCTGCTGGGAGAAGTTCTGTTGCTTGTACATAAGCAGCTTTTCTGGTGTGTAGTGTGTTTATTTTTGGTTAAGACATGCTGCTGCAGTGATGGTTAGCACTGTAATGTGGGTGTTCCAGACAGAGAGGGGAGTTTTCCTGCTGCTTTCGATACAACGGACATTGCAAACTTACTGGAAAGTTTTTCTCATTACATATGTGAAGGTATGTCAGTTTATTAGCATTCTATTTATGCAACCTAGGCTGTATTGTGTCTGTGTATTATAGATCTATATATACATACTACACACAAACTCATATATATATATCAAATATAGTACATTAGGTTTTATGTATGCATATAGGTACCTATACACCATTATGTATAGTACTGTACTACTGTGTATATAGTATATACTACATCTTGTACTACGTGCATAGTATATATGAGCATATGTAAAACCTAATGTACTATATTTGTATTCTGCTTCCTGTGATCAGCTACTTAACTGTTCTACCAGTCTACATTTTGTCTTGTTGCAGACAAAAGTTTGTGGGTGTAGGTGTGTAAATGAGAATAATTGTTTACTAGAAGCAGGTTGAGTCCACACCTTTGATGTGCTCTGAAAAATGTAGCAGCATCTTCTCGTTCTAGTCCTGTAAGTTTCTTGGCTGCAAAAACCACTACTGGTCTAGCAGGTACCCAGCTCGCCCTTGTCTTCAGGTTTTGTTGGATCAAAGGCCTTTCCTTTCAGCAAAGGCAAGCAAAGCATCCTGTGAGGGTTAACATCTTTAAAATGGAGATAGATAAACCGCAGGTTTTATGTTGGGTTTTTGTTGTGGGTTTTTTTTTTTTTTTTTGCCTCCTGCATCTTTCTGGCTTTTCTGGTTTTTTTTTTGTGGAGTTGAAGCTGTACCCTGCAATCATGTAACTGACTGTCAGTATCAAACTTCCACTGCTAAACACAGATAGGTATGTGAGGTCCTTGCCTAATTTGGGGGGATGCATCTATCTCCCCTAGTCACAGAAGCACCTGTCTGGCTGGGGAGCTTTTAGAAGACTGCTTGCACTGCAGGTGCCCAGGGCAGTGTGAGTGGGCAGCTCTGCCCCATGGGACCTGACACAGTGCTTTGCCAGAGCCTGCTCTGCCCCTGACGCTGGGAACTGCAGCGAGCAGCAGCGAGCCTGCCAGCATGAGATAGTGCACTGTCTCCTACAGCTGCCTTATCTGTCCCTCTGCATGGGGGAGGGCACTGAGACTTAGGGCAATATTGAGAATGAGACAATTTGTTAAAGCTTGCAACTTTCAGCTTACTCTTTTAATGAACTTAGCTATGACTACCTCAGTTAATTACAGTAAGAAATCACTATTACCAAACCAATGTTTAATTAAAAAAAAAAAAAATTTATTTCACACTTCTATACAAATATCCACAGGTAATTTCTAATTATGGAATGATGTAGCATTGCTAGCTGGTATAAAAAAAGTCTGAGATAAAAGTATACCAGTGCCATGACTGACTTTTGAAGAACTTTCAGTTTAACACTGCTACGACATTCATGTTCTTAGATGAGGGCCACAATTTGCTTTTAAATCCAAGGCTACTTGTCAAGCTTCTTAGCCCCTGATTAGCCTGGATTCAGATGCTGCTGAGCCTTTCAGCAAATAAGCTAGAATTTTAAAAGCTCAGAAACTGGGTAACAGCTAAATACATGTGTAAGTGTTCATAAAATCAGGGTCACATCATACTGAGATGATATAGTGGGAGGAAGAAGAGTCTATTAAATTATGCACTTTCTATAATTATAACTTTTTAGGTGATCACACCTTCCAAGAAGGTATGTTCAAAGTTAGTAGTAAAAATAAGACACTTGACAACTGCCCTCCTAGCAGGTTTTTACCCTATGAGGGGAAAAAGTACCAAGAGGTTTTTGCATAGTTCAAATAACTAGCAATTAACGTGCATGCTTTTAGAGCAGAATTTTGTTTCACATGGAATAAACAACTGTGAACTAAATCTTTGTTCTTAAAATAGTACCAACACTTTAGAACACAGGTAAAAAAGTAAACTCTTTAAATAGTTTTATCAGTTATGTTACACAATAACTAGATTACTGATAAACACAACATTGTGATTCTACTTTTATCAACATTCAGGTATTCCAGACGATTCAGTAGTCTCAGCGTGGATCAGCTCAGATCCCCACAGTTAAGGTAAGTTGGGCATTTATCGCCTCCTTCAAGTGCTGTGTAACAGTTGCAGTAGTCAGTGCCTTTTGCCAAACAAGAAGTCCTTACGAAGCTGGAAAGCAGATTCCAGAGAACCTCTCACTTTCTTGTAGTATAAAACTGTATCTAAAAACCCTACTTCTGCTTGGTGTCCAAACTGTTAAATAGTCTGAAGTAATATACAAATCATGTTACAAGACCTGGTAATTCCTATTACATAAAGCTACAAGTATTAGGAAAAAAAAAAGCCCCCATACACGTCACTGGAATAAATATTTACATTGTTAGAAAGCATTGGCACCTTCAGTGACTTATTAAAATGCAGTGAAAGCCTCAGGTCTCATAATCTGAAATTCAAAAACACAGTGGATTTGAAAGTTCAGTTAAGTCTTTGGCCTAACAGTTAGTCAAAGACAATGATTTATAACAAAAATAAATACAAACATGACTAAAATATATATATACAAAAAGTACATCTAATATTCAAGCCTCTCTTTTAAAAAAAACCTGTGTATATTTGTTGTGAGCAAGAATCACACAATCTGATTGTAAAAGAATTGTGCAACATGACCTATTGCACATGTAATTTAAGATGATGCTTTTTGTTAAGCCCTAACTACTGCAGCAGGCAAAAAGTTTTATGGCTAGATTTGCAGGTCTTCAGATTATACTTGAACAGGGTGTGTTGAGGCCGCTGTGTGTTTATAATGGCCCATGCATTGAGGGAAGGGGAGAACCTGTCTTGACCTTAACCATGTGTTCCTTGCATGCTGAGGAAAAAGGTTGGGATCACTGGAAAAGATCTGCTGTAGCGCTTTTGCATAGTTTGCAGAGAAGACCCCAAACTATACAGTATCTTCTAAAGAGTGAGTGAGTTAGATGTGAAGGGGGAAAGAGGCAGTCTGAAAATTAAATAATGCAAATACAGTCTGTTGAAGCAATTTTAACTGTGCAAACGAAAGCCTCAATAGAAGTAGTAATATCTACAATCAAATGGTAAATGTCCATAGTGTTCATAGGTATAGCTCCATCAGTATTCCATTAATGAAAACCTTAACCTCTGTCTGAACTTTGTGGATGAAAAGTATTTTTCCCTAAGAATAACTTTCGTTTTCATTCCATTTTGTGAACCACTGTTTTGTCTCAAGGTCTTTGTATTTCCCATCTTTGATCTGTCGCTCTTCTTTTCGAATTCTTACAGCATGATATCGGGGGACACTGTCTTCGTACCTAGATCGCTGGAAGAACCCACACTGGGGCAGAGAAGAAAAAAGAACAGTTTAGGTTTAAGTTGCTCCCAAAGTACTACAAGAGAAGCAGTAAACTATTCCTTTGCACAGATATACAGGTAAGAAAACTGAAAACAAAACGATGTATGCCAAAAATGTAACATATGTAGCTGTAAAAATGTGAGCCAGCAGGTCTAAGTTAGTTGTTCCAGCAGTATTTGAAGACAAATGGCACAGTCTGACAATCTGGTAATCTAATACCTTAACAATATTTTCTTCATTAACTTTCTAGATTTAGTTTACAAGTCTTTTAAGTCTTCTTATAAAGCTATTCATTCATATAACAAGAGACTTTAATGCTACCCAAACAAGTAGATACAGTTCAGGAAAGCTTGCTTCTCCTGAATCAAAGGTAGGTAGGTAGTTCAGTATCTTCCTGTACGGTGACATGATTCACCTTTAAAAACCTACAGAAAGATTTCCAGGGCCTTTACAAAGGCCTGTAACACAAACTGTTACTGTAGCGAAGTGTACTGAAGTGTAAGGAAAGTTACAGCAGGAGGCCTTGTTTTTCAAAGCACCGTCTCAACTGCAGTCACCTGAACTAACTACACATCTGCAGTATTAGAACCCTAGTCTTGCTTAGTTTGCCATAGGATAAAAAACAGACATAACTTGAAAGCTTTGTAATGTGCCTCAACACAAGTCTCCCTAAATGAAATCTAGTACAGCTTATCTGCACCCTGCAAATTTTTATTCAAAGCCACTGTAAAAAACAACTTTAAATATTAAGGAATGGACTGACATTAATTTTTAAAACAAAATGAAGTTATGGCCACAGTGTTACAGTCAGCTTTTACGGGTCACTGATGTCACAATTAAGGTTCAGAGACATTGTGCCATCCAGCTGTCATGAGATACTGCTAAGAAAAAAAAACAACAGTAAAGGGACAAAGTTTTATTCATAGTATTGGGACTGGTGGGGTTTTTACTTGGTTGTGGTTTTTTTTTAAATAATATTGGAACTTACATGTAACTGAATTTAAAAAAAAGTTACATTAAGGCATAGACTAAATCTTCAGGTATCTCTTAGTGAAGATTTCATTAAACACTGGTTTTGACATATTTTAGTTAAGAATCCTCCCCACACCCTCATCCCAAGCATCACTTATTGATGTACATGCAGCATGTAATATATTAAGTTGAATAAAGGTTGCTAGAAGCATAAATCACCATGCATCTAGTAGCTTCAGCAGAAGAAAGTGTGTTCCTAGAAAAGTATGCCTTAGCTTAGAACTGAAGGAAAGCACATGTTCCTACAACAATTAAATTCTTGTTATGAAAATGCTTTTCATTATAAGCAACACGTATATTTTAGCATGCACTAAAGGTTAGTAAAGCAAGTTTATCCATCATCCACCTAGTCTTAGTTTTAAATCTTAACTCTGCAATGGTGATTACCGTCTCTCAAGCTTAAAAATTTACTTGTACTGTTAAAATATATATAAAAAAAAAAACTAAACAAACATTGCAACAGGTCACCGTGATTTATAAAGAAATAAAGCAGCAGCTTTTTAGATCAAGGTGAACACCTGTGTGTGTTCACATGCACCCAGAGATGAAACTGTATCGAGCAAGCAAGTGCAATAGCTTGAAATCCCAAAGTTAATAGAACGTATGCAGTAAAAGCTTCATAGTTAGCCACCGCAACCATAGCGTGTGCCACAGCTAAAAACTGAAAAGTATCGTCAATTACCAATTACAGAAGTAGATCAATACTACGCATCAGAAGTAAGCCTCTCTTTATCAGATGGCTGAGCATGGATCTCAGCCTTGTGATATGTGGCATCATAATGATCTTTCTTATTTCTCTTGAAGAAACCACACTACAAGGAAGCAAGGTATTCCGTCAATTTTTGTGGACTGGAAGAAGTCAAACATATTAATACTGACTTAAATTAATGCTGTGAACTATCTTCTCATTATCCCTTCACTGGAAAAAAAAATAAATCACAATAACAGCTGTTTCTAGATTTGAGAACTTCTTGGACTAACTTGATCTGTAAACTAGAATAACCTGAAAAGTATTATTTTAGAGGCGTTTGGTTTGGTTTGGTTTTTTTTTCTTCAAGAAAAGCTACTATAAAGTATGCCCATAGCAACTAAAGCTAGCTGTGAAGTGTGGAAAGAAGTCTATACAGAGACCTGTTTGCAGACTAGTTCACAGGATAGACAAAAACATAGTGCAAAACAAAATTTGACCTGTACAACACAAACATTTGTCTTAAACCAATCATGTAACTGTCTTTGAAGCACCATGTTTGTCATTGAAGCAATTAATAGTGCTAAAATTGTGTGAGAAACAGGTGTGGTTTTGTGTGCATTAAAATAGCAGGAGTTACAACCTGACATGCCACCCAAAGTATTAATTCATCAGCAAGATTTACAGCAGGGGCTGGGCATTTATTAGAAAATAAGGAAATCACTATCCTGTGAGAAGGAACCAGCAAATAGTAGCTCCTCAGCAAAGCTAATTGCTGCAGTTTCTCCAGAAAGTGACAGACAGGATATTCTTCTTCACCTCTTCTTTCTTAATAACCTCCTACTATGCCAGAACAGCAAATACTAACTGCCTCTGCCTGTAAAAACTTGAGTACAAAAGAACTGCCCTGTTACACTTAGAACCACAGTGAGCTGTAAAAATGCTGAAGGTAGTTAGAAAAATATGTACTTGATTTTTTCCTTATGCAAATTGTTAACTTTTACTCCTCTGGGATTTCTAAGATAAGAAGCCCAAACTACAGAAATTCACTATTCTATTGTTTCTATACTTTGTGGTTATTTACATCTACTATGAGTTTACTGGTGTTTCTGATGTTATCAGAACAAAGCCCTGCTACAAAACATTTGTAGATAGTTACACCCAACTGCAGCAGGCCCAGTTAGCTGTATCCATCCCTATCAAAGTAACTACGGTCTCTCAACATTTGTCTCAAGTTTTGCCCAGAACTTGCACTACTTCCGAAACAGAAGAATTTCATAAGAAGCCTTTCCCCTGTAATCATTTTCATTCAAAATGCTGCAAACCCAAGAAACTGATAATGGTAAGGTGTGGGTTGGTCAGTTTTGCTCTATCTTGAGTGTAAAATACAAACCAAAATACCTAATCGTTTGCATAATCAGTTTGCTGTCTTGTCAGTTGTAGACCAAGAAGTGTAAAACAGACAGATGAATAAAAACTCACCTTCCATAGTAAGAATACCAACAGTGCAAGCATCAGTATTCCAGCAAAAATAGCCACTGCGATGATCCACCAAGGTACTCCTGTATAAAGTGCTACTGGTTTTGCAGGAAAGACAGTAACACGCACCTAAAGAAGTATGTGAAGATGGAAAGAGCATTTCAGAAGCATCCATTTTTAATGTAAAGCTGCAATTTATACATTCTTATGTCTTCTATAACAAGATGACTTCTCTATCTCATCTATAAAATGTTTTTGGAGAACGTGTTCCTACTGGTATCGTTTCAATACGGTAGTGAATTTTCCATCCTGACTAAAAGATAAAAATGATCAATAATTCAAAAACTCGGTTAAAAAGCTCAGCTTTTAGCTACTTTTGTTTTGAAATTGTTTGTGGGGGTTTTTTTCCCAGTCTTTGAGATATGCTGGAAACATCACAACCATAACACATGGTTAGCATTAAATGTTGAACCTACCTGAGCAACTTCGTTTGTGAGTTTAACATTCTTAGCTGCAACAGGAACACTGATTGAAGCCCTAACAAGAATGTCCAGGTAGTTCATTTTGGAGTATTCCTGTTCCAAAATAAAATATGGATATTAGACACAGAAGAGGAAACAACACTGACCTTCCAGAAATGGCATGTAAGAGGACTTACTTCTAAGAAAGTGCTGTTCCACAGCCTGGAACGCAGCACAATGGATGCCTTGCTGTCTAAACCCTTCAGGGGACATTTTATGTCCACACAGCGCGCATTCACATTGCAGTCCTGCAATTACAAATTTCTGTGTGTAAATAAAAATTGGATTATATGCATCATATTTATGTCTGTTTGTACAGTGAAGATGCTATTACTTGTTTATTTTCATGTAGATAACCGTGTAGAAATTCTTTGCTATTTCTTTCTCATCGGTAGATAATGTAAATGGACAAATTTTAAAAGCATCGATACTTGGATTTAAGATAAAAACAAAGCACAGAGCTACCTTCTTTCAGCCTGCAGACTCAGGGAGGTATCTGATAAGGCTATGGTTGGTGCAATACACTTACCAAGGTCTTGTATTTTCTTTCTGAGAATAAAGAAAATGTCTTGCTGTCTGTAATCTGCTTCTCTGCAACCTCACGTTTCCTTCTTGAGTTACGGGATTCCTAAAAGGAAAAACAAAATAGAGTAAGAGTTTTAGTTGCTTATCATAAGCATCTCTTAATTCTCACCCCATACAAATTTGCTTGAGAAATTCTTTTTATAGTATTTGTTGCAAATAAGTAAATTTATGTGCCAGCCCTTTCTCTTTAAAAAAGTACATGGAATTCCTGGGGAGATGTTTAGTGTTTTTTATTGTTTTCTGTGTAAGAACTCTATCACCTTTCAGCAGTGTCATCCTGTAAGAGCATATGACAGCACTGCCCGTTGCAATAACAGTCACCACAACTTAGCATCTATCCTTTAGCATATATTATCCTCATTAGCTGTTACAAAGTCTCCTAATAGGCTTGACCCTTGATAGGTTGTTCATGTATTGTGCCCCTGAGCTGCTTAACATTAAAAAAAAAAAAAAAAAAAAAAAAAAAAAAAAAAACAAAACAAAACACCTCCTGGAGACAAACTCTTACGCTTATGGCCTACTATCACATGCTGCAGCACTTTCATGTTGTACCAATTCATGAGCAGAAGACAGGGTAACATACCACAACATGCAAACTATTGATTTCATTCTCAGGTTGACAGGAGACTTGTTCTAAGCCTTTGGAATCTATTTTCATCAAATAAAGCAGCCATTTGCCATTACTGATTTCTTTCGGCCACTGGATATCCAGGGAAGCGGTACCAAATGTTTTCAGTGGTCTGCCCAAGTTAGTCACCTGTTAAAACAAACATTCTTTAAACTGTGAAATACTTTTAAAAGGAATTTTCTTCTGATTCTAAAGTGTTACTGACCTGGGCAAGTTTTAAGCATGCAGCTAACAGGAAATTTAAAAGTATACGAAGGATAGTCAAAACAGTATAAAAACAAAGCTTATACTAAAACTGGCACCCTTGGATAGCAAGTAAATACTGATTTGAAACAAATAAGTATTAAAATTCCCTAACGTGAGCTTTAAGCTGTTGATTTTCGGAAATCTGTCTTCATGTGAAACAACAACTCCGATTTAGAGTTAACAAATCATTCAGTTACATAACTAAGGCAAACTGCAAGTTTATGAGGAACTCTGACATGGAAAGATAACCAGCTCTTGCTCTCGTAAGCCTGAAAGTTGTTTCCCAACCTATTTTTTGCTTTCTTAGTGGTACTGTTCACAATAATAAGTTCTACACCAGATATTCCAACTGCATCAACCTTAATATATGAAGGCAGGTACAAGAGGAAGCAAAGCACTGACAGAGAGGGACTTTAATCCTGACAAACTATTATGTACAAAGACAGCGGGGATTGCATTAATGATGTAGAAAAAGCAACTCTTGCTGATAAGCAGAGTTTTTACAGAACCAAAATAATCTCTCTCCACCTTCTCCTTGATTTGTCAATTAGGCAGACGACCAGAAGAGGGAAATAGACCTACACGTTCAGAGTGGCTCCTGCAGCATGTCCTCATGCCTGCTCAGTCCTGCATGCAGTAAGTACGCACACTCGCCGTCTGTGCCACAGCGGGGGCTCTGGGTCTAAGCTGTGTTCCCTACCTGCAGGGGGTTTTGTGCTGTACAACTGCATGTGCCTGAACTGCTCCCAAACACAAGGGCACAGCCAGCCTTAGGCCACTTTCTCAAAATAGGATTGTAAAACATCAAGGCCTAAAGAAGATCTAGTCTGCAGTCGGACTGCATGTTCTGATCAGGAGGTCAGGATTTTGGGACAAGAAAAGCCAATTTTAAATCCAGCAACTTTTCCAAGTATTCACATGCATAAAGAGAGAAGCTGTTCACTTGATTAAAAGCAGCTGTTGACATTAATCTGAATTACTCACTCTGAATTCATACTCTATGAGGTTTCCAATATTATCTTCAGATTTCATAGCACTCTCACCAACGATGTTACCTCCAAAATATACCTGAGAAGGCTTAGCAACTCTGTTCAGGTGGGGGTGGAGAAGGAGAGTAATCAGATTTTAACGAAGTCTGCAGCAAACCTGTCATCCCCAGCCCCCCCATTTGTTATGCTATCAACACTTACCCAGTGAGTGACAAAAGCAATTCAAGAACCACTTTAGCACTAGCTGTAATTGGAGTCGAATTAACTTGAGTGCTTGTTCTACAATGAAATGGAAACAATGCTGTTTATTTTTCAAATTCAGCAGTTTTTCACTTTACTGTTAAATTGCTTTTGTGAATCGAACAAATTAATTCAAAATGTTTACAACTGCATATAAAAACACAGCACGTACACACAAAGAAAACTTACGTTTCCAACTTCAGATTAATGTCCAAGTCGGTCGTATCAACATTAACTTTAGTGGTACTTAAGATCAAATAAAAGGTTACCTAGACAAGAAAGATCATTCATTAAATATGTAAGCATTTTATAAAATATATTAACATACACAATATTATAGAAATACACCATCAAGTCCTAGAGTTAAAAGGACAGATCCAATTCAGATTTCCAGTTACACAAACTCTGGACGACTGCAGTCAGGAATCAGATTTTATAACTTGAAGAAAATAGGTGCAACTTACGTTGGAGTTTCTTTTGAAAGGATTTCCAAGTTCACACTCGGCTTGAGAACCATTTTGGTTAGCACCACATGTTAACTGTTTTTCCTGATTAAACAGAATAGATTTAAAAGTAAAAATATGCTGAAAATATTTTAAAATATAAGTATCTTATCTTAAAAATACTTACAGGATAACCCCTCATCTCCCTGAATGCAGAATACGTCAGACTGTCTGGAAAAGTTGCAATTAGTTTAGCTTCATATGCATCTTCACCATCTTTTTGTGGATTTCTGGCATCAGATGGGTTGTTTGTCACTGTTATTTCCAGGGCAATATCTTTCTGATCTTTCAGAACAAGCACTGGCATGCCATTTTCACTACAGAAACAGAGTATACAAGGTTGTGCGCATTAGGCAGACAAACGTCTATGAAAGTTTGCTTCTCACTATGGTTTACCCAAATGTAATTCCCTCTATTAAGGAAGAATTACTGTAAGACCATAAACACATGAATGGCCCTAGGATTTTTTCCCCTGAGCAGTATTTCATCTCTGAAAGCAGCCAGCAGTTAACAGGATGGAGCAAACCAATACACCCCTCAAGTAATCAAGCGTTTCTAGTATTTCTGAACCAGCACTTGCATCTGGCCCACATTTCATAATGATGAATTTTCTCTGAGTAGATTTACTGACCTTTCTTCTTGTAAAGCAGACAGGGTTTTGGCTTCTGAGTCACACTGTGGCAGTCACTGCTAAGGTGACTGACTGTTGACAGTAAGTAAACATACTTCCTTTTGTTTGTCTTACACCTCTTTTCTAATGCCACTGGCCCTCCAGGGAGGAGGGATGCAGCGGGGTGTTGGGTGTACGTTACAGGAAATGATTTCTCTGTTCACTTCCCTGTAACTGCTGTCATACTCACAATCAAATTTAATCTCAAAAATAGTTAACAGGATCACACACAATAAACTACTGCCAGGCTGTTTGTGATTCTCATTCCTGCAGGGGTTAGAAACTTTTTTCCAACTTTTAGCCCACAGTTGTGGCCGCTTTGTATCCATTTGACTCGCTGCCAGCTCTTCTTCTGAAGTTCATCCCCACTCCCCCACCTTCCTCACCCCGACAGATCAGTGCTATTACACAGGGCTGCGCTTCCCAGACTAACACAACAAAGCTGCTCTACCTCCCCAAACCCTCTCCCTAAAAGTTTCTTTTACGCACTTGTTAATAATTTGATTTCTAGCAATGCGTTAATCAAGGCTTACATTGGTAAATAAGTAAACCTGTCTTCGTTTCCTTCTCTAGTGCAAAACCGGTACTGAAGTTTCAGATTGCTGTGACATTCGTTGTCTTCTCCACATCCTTCTTTTAAGAACTCCACCTAAATAAAATCAAAGCACTTTTACAGCTTACCACGTGATGCTAGTTTAAAACAAGACTTCTGATGTGCACTGCATAAAGCACCTACAGGGAACTCAGAAACACTCTCCTGGACAGAGTAAGATTTTAACCTGACTCTTATTGCCTGTCTAGAGAGTTTTTCTTTGTGAGACACAGCCCTTGATGCTGATAATTCAGAACTTTAAATGTGACTAGAGGGCAGAGTTAGATAATTCTAAGTAAGAAGTACACTTCTAATCAGGAAAAACATCCTTAAATCTGATTCTTCAGCGAGTATTGAGGAAAAGGCATCTGTCCCCCAACATATTCCCTCTCTTTTACATCACTGTGGCAGAGCTCTGATGCTGTTACAGCATCCTAACCATGGAAGAATTAGACTGTACGTCATTTTGTTACATGGGACAAGTATTCACAGCAGGAGATGATGGATTTCCATTTTCAATCAAAAGTACATTTCCTCCTAAGCCTGTTGGGGAGAGAAAAAAACCAACCTAGCAGCTATACCATCGTCACTTTTGTTGCAAAAGAAACACAGCATCTAGCTCATAACGTTCTGTAACAAGTTCATAACAAAATACAAAATATAAACCAGTTGTTACAAGACCACTGCCACCCCAGTTAATTCCCTCAGTCATAATTTAGCTTTCTACAGTCTTTAAAATTCAGTGATTTATCAAAGTGCGGATTTATGGGAAAATACAGTATCAAAGGCTTACTTTTGTGGTCTTTGTTTCAGATTCATTTGAATTTAGAATTGGTATAAGATCCGGAAGTGCTCTCTCTTTTCTTGTGGACAGTGAGCTAGACTCCAGGCCAGCAATTTTAACACTGACTGATATTGGAATGGGGCGTAGCTTATCTTTGATTTTTTCCTGTTAAAATATTTTAAATGGCATAGTTACTGTACAGTGCAGGGGAAAAACAAACAAACAAAAAAACCATAAAGACTAGCTTTTGATATACATTTTAGAACAAGCAGTAAGGCAAAATCTCTCCTCCTACATTTTGCAGGATTAAAACTATTCACTATGCAGGAACCCATCAGTTTCTAACAATGTACAAGAACACAAGGAGCCTTCCTCTACTGTCTTTTTTGTCTGGCTTCCCAATCTGGTGATTTCTCTCACCATTAAGAATTCCTAGGAGCAAGAGATGGTAACTCAGGCAAGTGAAATTCACGGTACAACAGTAAAATAACACTTTCTCCCTATTGTGTAAGTTCAAGCTCTCTAACTTGCTGTGGTCAGTAGCAGCCTTGGAGGCTGGCTCGATCCTGCTGAGCCACAGATAGAGAATTTCTTCAGCTCCTGGAGGAATGCCACCTTTATGGGCCGGTGTAGCAGCCAAGTCAAAGAGCACACACCAAGCTTTCTTGTCCTGTCCATTCATCCGCTCTAAAACCTGTGGGTTAAAATTCCTTTCCTAGCCAGTCACACCATTAAATTCTATAACAATTACTTCTGTTGGAAACAGCTCTCCATTTGTGACATTTATTCCCTCTCTATTGTTCTAAATTACTTCAGCTCTACTGACCTCCAGAGCATGCTGCTGTGGCTACGACTTCTATTCATACTTTGTACGAAAGGCAACAGGAGGAAGCAGCACGTGTGCTTGGAATAGTAAGGCACTACACTTAGCTATGGTGGGGTTTTAGTTTTGAAGCTTTATATTGCATGTGACTTTACAATTATATACAGAGGTACCATGAGGCTGAAGAAAAAGAGCACGCTTTTGTTTTAAATGGATCTAAATGAAAGAAGAATTAAATACTCTGCCTTACCTGCAGTACAAGCTTGGTTGTCACACACTCTTTTGAGTTCTGCCCTCTTAGGGTCGTACTTGCAGTAAACTGATCAGACAGGTGGTCTTTAAACCGCACCCTAGACGGCAGGCCTAACTGCCTCCTCTCATTTTCTGCTTCAAAAGTATAGTTGATCCCTACATGAAGAAATAAAGTAGGTCACTGTAAGAAAAACCCTTGCCTTATTAAAAAGAACTTTAATTTCTCCAGGTGTGATCTTACAGCATTATTCTAGACTGTTTCGGCCGGTGCTCGGCTTCAGAAACTATTTTCAGTTATTTACAAAAATTTCTCCATCCATCAGTTTGTCCCTCTCCCGCTGAGGGCCAGGTGCGAGTACTAAACCAAATCCTTTTATTCCAAAAGTTCCCGTTACTTTCCTGGCATGCAGAGCTGGATGGAGGAGCTGTAATTGCTGCTGTGGAGCCAGCAGAGGGCTGACTTACAAAACTTCATAAATACTCTGACTCTGCTCTCGATTGCTGTTCTGCCCGAAATAGCACCTCAGCAGCCAGCAGGGTTCTGAGGACGAGATACCCTGAGAATTTCACCACTGAAAGCAAAAGCGTGAATACAGCTTTCTAGTTGTATGCTGAGGCATGTTTTGAGAGATCTGAACTCTGCATCTTTTAATCATCTGCATTCTCCGAGCCCGCTCAGCGTTGCAGGGGCAGGAGCAGCACCGTGTGTGTGTGTGCCGGGCCGGCGGCGAGGAGCACGCAGCCCGGCACGACTGAGCCACCGCTGAGAGCTGGAAGGACTCGGCCTGATGAAGGACTGGGACTTCATTCGGGCACATCCTGTGGATTTTACAAGAACTGAGAAACTCAAGACAACACCGGAGGAGAAGATTTGGGCTTAAAATTCTTCTCATTTCCTCTCAAAATCCTACACGTTTTTCTGAGGTGTAGTAACAGCAGCATTGTAACAAGAAAAAACAGGAGACTTGAAACACTAATGCTTTACGTTTTTAACTGCATTTATGGCACAGTCTTGCAGGCTCCTATTACAAAGATTTTTTTATTTCATTTACCAATTTTCAGAAAACCATTTTCATTAATAGAGAACGCTCTTTTATAGGGTAGGTCTCCAATTAGAAATGCTGCTTACTAATGATATATAAAATGAGCTTTTAAAACTATTTTCTAAAGCAGAAGTAAGCGAGAGAGGCAAAGTGGTTTTGGTCAGTATAGCAGCCATTTGCTCACTGGCAGATACACGACCTAGAAAGCTTCGGTTCGGTCTCTCATCCACAGAACTTCCTAACACACCAGCATGACTCAAATACAATACATTTCAAGAGGAAAATTTTCCCCCCATGAGAACAAGCAGCCACTGGAATAATCTCCCCAGGGAAGTGGTGGATTCCCCAGCATTGGACACCGAGGATTCAACTGGATAGGGTGCTGGGCCATCTTGTCTAGACTGTGCTTTTGCCAAGAAAGGTTGGAGCAGATGATCCTCGAGGTCCCTTTCAACCTGGGATTCTGTGATTCTATGCTACGCTCAATACAGACAGTGCAATAGCTGACTGACCTCAGTACTGAGTCACATTTTAAATCTGACAGTCAGTCTGAGATGAGTCACTATAAACTGAGTACTATTCTTCCGTGATATACCCTAAAGAAAAAACAAACCACGTGACAAACAGATCAAAAATATCTATCTTCAAAACTTACTTATTCTTGGATTTAAGTCACTGGGGTTTGCAGTATATTGAAAACATGCTTTAACATCCATCCTGTAAAAAGCGCCAAGAAATTAGTATTAACTTTAATCGTGGTCCAACAGACTGAAAAGTTTTAAGTCCATTGACTGGTATTAGCAGTCTTATGACTGGTTTTCATGCTAGAACATTAATTTGCAGTTTACTAAACTGAATTACAAAGCAAGAAAAGATGGTTAATGAGCAATTAGAAAGAAACATTTTCCACATTTGCTCTTACATCTCTACTCATGAGAAAGCTGTCCAAGTTAAGAATTTTAACACTTACAGGTATCTTAAGTGTCAAAGTGACATTCGTTTTCAAAAATGGACATTATGAACAGAACATATTCCACACCTTGTCATTAGCACAATAGCCACAGCAAATATAGGAAGACAAGATGATCACGTGTAGATACATTTGCTTAACCTGCATGACTGTCATATCCCTTCACTTTAAAGTCATCACAGACTGAACAAATTTTAACAACAGAAAACCCAATACACCGAGGCTTCTGAGATAATAATTTTTTAAAAAATTACCATATTTCACTAGGGTCCTCAGGGTTCTTTTTCTTTAGATCAATTTTGTCAGGCTGTACTGTAATGCTTTTTCTGATGCTTATCACAGGCCGAGATCTTCATTTGGGGGAAAGATACGGAATGAAAAGAAGGTGTAAAAAAAGAAGGAAAAGTTTCTGTTGATTAATGAAATATTCCGTGTCAATCCCAGATGCCCTCCATGCCTGCACTGATTTGCAACAGACGCCCCAAGAAACACAGTTTGGCTTCAATAACGATTAGAAACAAAAGAAAACTCTTAAAGCTAGGCAAAGCAAGTAACAAAAAACAACTACAGTTGTATTAAATGCCTGACAGGGAAGCAAGGCACATTAATGTGATGTCGTGGCTGTCCTTTTATAAACATTTAAAATCAGAAAATTCAAAGTGATGGTTCCCATCCCAGTGGTAATTCAGCCCCTGTGAACAACTGTAGGTACTAAAGTTCATTCAGATTAATGTTCACAACAGCTTTAACGCGGAGCCTGGGTGGCTGTGGGAAACTATGTTTTAATTTCCTGACTCCTCTGCATGCAGGCTATAACCATAATTCAGCCTGACAACTTTTCGTTGTTGGAAGGGACGAGAAAAGACAGTTCACATGAACAAATGAATGAGCCAATCCCGCTCTCATCAAAGTATCCACTGGCTGTTTAAAATGGGCACCTCCTTCTCGAGCAAATGTCTTTAACTGGGCCACCCCTTCCACTCTTTGTCACCATAAAGGTTTCCATTCTCACCTTTGTAAAAGTTTTTGTGCTGCCCCTATCAGCAAGTGATTAAAGCTCCTTTTGAGTAAGCAGACAACTTAATAACCTAACCAACTTCCACAAACAACATGAGTTGCTTTTGTTGGGTGCTGTTTCAGTGTATTTAAGAGCATTCCAATTATGTACACAGATGCTATACAACTTAGAGATGGGATCATCAAAAAACTGTAGGGAAGGTCATTCTGCCTGCAAGGCCGAGTTGTTTTCATCCCCAAAATTAAGATAACCAGTTTTTGGAATTTTCTGTTCCTCTTCCTCTGGGACCTGACAGCAACCACCGAAGACCTGAACTCGATGCAGCATTCACTGCTCTGATGAGGAGACGGTCCTCTTCCGGCTCACGACTAGTGATTCAACTGAGCAGTACATTAAACTGGAAAAAAAGCAGAGGTCTGCAAAAGACCACGGCCCTTATCCCTGATTAAGACGTGTGCTACAGAAATCCAGAAGGATCCTGCCTGCAGGGCTTCCTCACAGCTGTGTCACAGACCCCACTGCAACCGCAGCAAGGCCATACGCCTCACTGCTTGCGGATCCTCAGCTCCAGAAGAGGGGTTTGGTATTGTTCTATCTCCAATAAAGCACAATTAGATTTATAAAACAGCAGCAAACAAAAGCTCTAGCAAATGTCTCAGTTAACTTTTCCTTTCTTAAGGCAAAAGAATTACTTATCACCCCTAATTCTATCAAAGGACGGGAGCATCCAGGTAAGTTACCACAGAACAAAGCCAGGGTACACACAGGCTACGTGCGGCAGCGCTCCACAGTAACTGTGCACATTCACCCTCCTACCCTGTGCTGAGTGTGAGGCAGCTGCTCAAGGAGAAGAGGGGGATAAAGTAACAAGCCAATTTATGGAACTTTTTCCCCCCCAAAATTTCCAACTACTAGAAGGAAAAATAATCTCCAAGTCAAACAGCTCTTTGTTACTTCTAATCAGTTTGGTTTTAAAAAACTAAACCCAAAACCTTGGTGTAATTAGTTACAGTTCTGTATGTAATACCTGAACACAGATACAGAATCTGAAAGGGAACCAACAGCAATATCGGGGTAGGAATTTTTATCCAGGTCCATGTTTCCAGCAATAGAATAACCAAAGAAATCGGTACCTGTTTTTTCACCATCAAGAATCTAAAGAGGAAACAGATTGAGGAGTTCAGACATATAAAAGCAAAATGAGTAACAAGTGAACATCATTGTCTTATGGCCAGAAAACAAAAAAAAGAGAGAGAGAGAAGACACAAGGAAATAGGACCTCTGTGTTCAGGTAAATGACACTGAAGTGCCAAGATGATTTGCTTTTCTTCCAAGAATTTACTTTGCAATAGCAGTGAGTACCAGAAATGACTGCTTTGCATAAAACTGTTGCCTAGCTTATCTTTACAGTATTTATGGGGTATAGGCACTTGAAACTGAAAAAGTATTCTAAAGGTATTCTAGGAAGTGTAATCAAGTTCCATTTTCACTTTGCAAACTGAACATAGTGGTTCTCAAGAAAAAAAGCATAAACATGTTTTATTAAAAAAGAAAGTGAAGTAATAGTAGTGAAAGAGAAAATGAAGAAACTAGCTATTTTCAGATCCTCAAATTTCTTGCAAAAAAACCAAAACTTACACATCTACATGCCTTTTTCCTTTTCTACATATTATTGGTGCCAAAGGACTGCCCCAGAAAGAAAACTGTACATTAAAAATCAAGAATTCCTAATCTTTCTGGTCAGCACTGCAATCTTTGAAGGGTCCTATGACTTCTCTGCATACCCACCACCCCACTAACAGTAATGGAAAGGGAGAAGATGCATAGTCATCGTTCCTTTACATTTTGTGCAAGACTGATTACATACAGTAAAGGTGATTTCATTACCTGTGCTGGTTTTGTATTTATTCCATTCTTGGATCCATGATAAATGTATACTTTGCCAAAACCATCATATGGAGCCCCCACGGCAATATCTGTTGAAAATAAGTAGCAACACCTGAAATAATCATTCTTACTCTTTCTGCATCTTGCAATTACCGTAAGGGTAAGATGTTCCAAGTCTGGCATTAGCAAAATAGTCGCATTCATTTTTATTGTAATCAGTTTTCACCCACCTGGATATCCATCCTGATTAACGTCCCCAACATTTTCAACTGCAAGACCAAACATGGAGTCAGTGGTTCCGTTTAAGCGAACAGGTTTTACTCCTTCCCATTTGCCTTGCTGGTTAATGTAGACGTACACAGCACCACCAATATCTCCACTTCTGTCAAAATACTGCGGGGCTCCAACAACAATGTCTTGCCATCTTAGAATTAAAGAAAAAAAAAAAGCAGTGCTTTTACAGAAGAACTGAAAAAATAACTGATCAGATTGTGGTCTGAAGGCCAGCTAGCCAAAGAGCTGCTGAACAAAGACTAAAGAGTACACTGACATGGTTGAGCAACAACAGATCCACTGATATTACAAGTTGATTAGGTTCCTTCTGTGACATACGGGGATCTTCTAGGACCTTCTTCAGGTATGAGATTTGTTTCTTCTTTCTTTGTTTACACTAATTGTTTAAATTTAAATAAAGCTCTTTTCTATAATGAGAAATGCAGACTGTGTCCTGACTGGTTCTCTGAGGCACTTGCCATTTCCTCCAGCAAAACATGGAAGATGGGATTTGGCATTCCTTCTATTTCTAACGTGAAAAAACAAAGTAGAAATGAGCCAGATTGCCATCCTTCATGCTACAGGCTGCAGGAGTTAACCCAGGCCGTACCCGTCACTGTTAAGATCCACAACTGCAACGTCATAGCCAAAAGAAGAGGCCAGCCCTTCTCCTTCAAACATGTGCTCAAGGGACAGCGCTCTCTGATTCTTCTCTTTTTTCAGTAAAACAACTGCTCCGCTGTGGTTGGCTCTTGGGGCACCAGAGACAAAAGTCATCTCATCTTGGGAGACAATTCCCTTACCAGAGTCCAAAGAGAAACCTTTAACACAGAAAGAAAGAAAGTATAAACAAACTAAGAGCTTGTATTGTTAATAGGAAAAATAAATTCCCCCTACTATATTAAAGTGGTATGTTGAACAGAAGTTTTGTCTAAAACTGAGTGTGATATACTGGAAATTCTCCATTTCTGTTTGCACTGGTGGATGTATGTTTACGTGTCTACACTCCTTCATACAGAACGTTTAAGTATTTCCCCCCCCCAACCATATTTCATTGCTCACATGGATCTACTTTTCACAGACAGCAAATACAAGATCATTTTTTAACATACCAGCTTCGAAATGACTACACCTTACCACTTGAATATAGCTCAAGTATTTCACCTCTGGCAAAATTATTATAAAACTTCCCAGGTACAAGTCAGTATCGTTCTACTGCAAACATGCAAAACATACCGCACAAGCACAGTATTTTCCATGAATGATGTATACAGTATTTGAGAATCACCTTAGACAGTAATGGTGAAATTGGCAATTTTGATTTAATGCAGCCCTAAGGGACACGTTCAAATCAATTTAGTCTTACATATTCTTTATAAGACAATACGTTTTAAAATATATGGAAAACTGAGGCAAAAGAATATACTGCATGTACCAACACATCCGATAGAGGCCAAAGGAGAAAATTACGCCATTGCAAGTAAGAAAGATACTAGCCAGCAGATGGAAAAATCTCCCTTCTGGAACACTTCACCACTACTACAGAAATTCTCAATTACAGCAATTCACAATGAGACAGTTTCAGAAAAATTCAGGGAGTCCCATCTGGGGGAGGGACAAGAGGGTCTGGAGAAATGCATGACTAATCGGTTTCTCTGAAGCCAGGTTATTTTGCAAGCTCCTCTTCATCCGAATCCCTGTTTTTACATGCTTTTACTTGCAGTGTATTTGAGATGAGGGGGAATGGAGGGGAGAGCATCGTGTCAGAGGTCTGGAGATTATGTGTGACCAGATGTTGCCACCTCAGGTGGTCACAAACCTAAGTAGCTATTCATCATTACATCCACCGATCTGTCCACCTGCATGCCGGGAGGCAATGTTTTGTATACAAACTGATCTGGATGAGTATCAGATACAGCTGTCAAAAACAGAAGACCTGTAAACAGGAGTGAAAGATTGAAGAGAAAAAAGTAGTAGTTAAGCAAAGCAGCTATAACCATGTTTATTTACTGTCTGAACAGAGGGAACAGCAATGCCAGTGAACAGCAGGCTTGCTTGGAAGTGCTTTTGTTTGTGACGAAAGACAGCATTTACATTTAGGAAATAAATGCATTTGTTATGTAACTGCAAAAAGTCAGCATTACTCTTCACAGCAGAAGATACCTCCACAGCACTCCTCACCTTCCCAACTCTTGTTTCACTAGAAGAGGCTCTCAGCTTGTCTTTCTAACGTAAGCTCTTATAATTTTTTTTATTACACTCAGTAATTACTGCTGATATTTAATAGAATTTTATGTTCTATTTCTTCTAACAGATATGCAGCTGTAAGTTGGATCTTTTCTTGACTTGCTTTTACTTTATATATTAGCAATGCCCTTCCATCTGTTCAGCTTTTCACCACTCACACAGAAATCCCAGTTTCAAGTTACCAGAATTGTTTTTGTTGCATATGCCAAAAGCAGGGGATCAATATACCACAGAAATCTACACTAGAACAGAAAGGTTCTTTACATTTTACACTTGAGGTCTTTCCAAAACGGCAGCAGAGCCTTTTCTTTGCACCAACGTATCTCACTGGTAGTACACTAACATCCACTGGCTTACGGACAAATTTCTGCTTTCGTGTGTGCACAAAGTGCAAGAAGAGACTCACCTCCTGCAATGCACACACACACTTCAAATATAAATACTACTGATATCAGGGTATTTTGAAGGCCTGCAAAAAGGCCACTGGAGTTTTAAAAACTTGAAGAATAAAAAATTGTACTCACTTACCAGGAGAGAGAAACTGCAGTTTTAACAGTAACATCCAGAAACTCTAATTTTGATAAACCTCCTGATACAAGGTCTCTGCCGTGTGGACTATGGAGTACAGATCCATACTTAACCATCAGAGCAATTATAATCACTCCCTGAGAATCTGCAGGTTCTCATCACAGCTCTTACATCTCCCGTTACATTAGGAGCTCTTGTAGGTGTCTCAGCAGAGTCTCGTCTTACAATTAAAACTGGCCCATAAAGGTGGAGGGAGATGTGGTTTATCCAAAATGGTTAATGTGTTATAAGGTCCACAAATGAAGGATTTTCTGCTCCCATTCTGTATCACTGCATCAGGCAGGGATCACACATGTTTAAGAAGCGCCTAAAGAGATTCACCATACGTATTTAATCCTACCTAAGTAACTGTTAGCTGGAACAGGAACTAGATTCTTATCTTGGCGGCTCTCATCACCAACTTCGTAAGGCCCATCATCAAAGATACCCAGATCATAAAATGTCTGATTCTTTTGCTCTGCACGAACCACCCCTGAAGAAATGAAATGATAAAATAAAAGCAAATGAATGGTAAGGGAGAAAAATAACAGATAAATGGTTCCCAGCTAACATTAATTATGATGAACAAGATAGCGACTGCTGTTTAAATGGGAGAAACACAGATTAGTGCACTGAGTGAAAGTGTTTCAAAAGGCAATGAATTTCTGAGTTCTGTCTGTGTGCCAGAATCCCATGCTGCTCTGCAGAGAGACCGTGCAATGATCTGGGAAACATGGGATACTAAGAAAATTCTCAACAAAAACATGGAACCAACTTGGTCAGGAACCACCCTCATCCCACTGTTCTTAACCTCATAAATCCTCTCTTAAAAGGGAGGTAAATGCACAGGAATAAAAAAAAATAATAATAAAAAATACTGTTCATCTATGACAAACACTAGTGATATATTTAGAAAACATTATTTAAGGGGAAAAGAGCTGTTGTTTGATAAAATGTGTGCTTCCCTTTTATCAACGGGGATATTTAACGTCTTGGCAAGCAAAACCATGTTTTCCCATGATACAGAAGAGTACTCTTATGACTGATATACTGTAATAGCACTTCTCTGCAATTAAAGTAAAACAGTGTCTGAATTCAATATGCTGTTTCAGCTTGGTCAGATTTTGTTGGCAGATACGTGAAAGATTAAGTTTGCACTAAAGTACACCTTGTGCCAGAGCTTAACTCGAAGATTTTGCATGGTTCCTACGGCAGGCACAGGTGTGCGAGGGGAAAAAATGTAATGGTTGGGGGATCAGATGTTCTAAAGAGGGAAGTATTTACAGCTGTTGGTGTAATGAAGTGTGACAGGGAAAATAAGAGACAGAGCTGACAATTTAGATGCTTCTCAGTATAGACTAACAGAAAATCTGTGGGTTTTTTTCCCTTAAGTTTTGGAATATCTCCTAGATGATATAGACTACTTGGCTCTTAGTCAGATATATTATCCACAGAATTTTACATGTGTATTCATGGATTTAGGTATGAATACATGTAGTATTGCTCTGTTCAGTTATCTTCCTGTAATCCTCCAGTATTTAATTTAGGAAGTATTACTTTCCACAGGCTTCACAAAGAACAAAGTGGAGATACTGCAGGATAAGCAAAGATCTCAGTGCAGCTATCTAATGTTTGCTCAAATGCAGGAAAAAAGGTTGGTCAAGTAACTTTAAAATAATTTAGTAATTTGTTCCAGTATGGAAGTCTCAAAGCAAGCACTCAATCCCACCATAAGATTAAGACTAATAGGGGAAAAAGTTGCTGTATGTATGTGCAGAGTTTCATTATCCATTCATAAATACCCCCTCAAAGATATTTAAAGGAGCTTCTCTAAACACTTCTGATACAGAAGCATAAACAGGGTAAAAATCATTAGGTTCCCATTATTCACTCCCCCCTCAAAAAAAAAAAAAAAAAAACAACAAAAAAACTTGGGATGCAGCCCTTGTGAGCAACCTCAGAGGAAATCGGAAGGAAGCCAAGTCATACCTTTCCAATTGTAAGTGCCTGGGGCACCAAACACAATATAATGATAGTCTCTAGTAAAAGTAGCGGCAACACCTTGCTGACAGGAACCAAACTTCTCATGGCCTCTTAAACGACCATCACAAAAACTCCATACTCCGTTATCCATATCATCCTTAATAGTGAGATCCTGGCTCAGCACATAGCACCTTCCAATGATATCCCGGGTTTCCTGCACTGTGTTTACATACTGCCTCTTCTCATAGCGATGTGCACATGTCTGCAAGACAGAAGAAACAGTAAATGATGCTTTTTTGTGTCTTTGCATGCAAGTCACCAAAGAAGGCTGGCCTCCTTTAGCAATACTTCGTGCTAGCAATGCTGTAAGTTAGTCACCTTGTGGATACATCCATGTTGCAATACAGAGAGAGTCCCTTGTTCCCTATGGGCAATGTTTAGGAAAAGCTGGGCATCTATAGATGCAAGTCAGAGCAACCATCTTCATGGTCAAGGAAGGCCGCAGGGTTAAATCCCTTTTTTCTGGGGGATTTTAGCCCCAAAGCCTTCCCTGATACCTCTCAAGAAACGAGGAGAGAACCACACCATCTCTCATAAAGAAAGAAGTGGCTGTTTCCCCGCAGCTGTCAGAGTTAAATGACTCACATGCTAGTGCAGGACATGAGAAGCTGGTTCAGCCACCATCTACCTGAGACTGACTATTCAGAACTCGCCCCTTCCAGAAAAGTGCCACAAAGCAGAGGCTGAAAACTTTTCCGGTGAAGGGGAGGGAAGCTGTTCCTACGTCAGATGTTCCGCTTACAGGTTAACTGCGACTGGGACAGAGCAGCAGCATTGAGCACAACCTGTTCCTTACCCTTTTAAACTGTTCACCTGCGAACAGAATTCTAACCAAATATTTAACACAAAGAATGAACAGCCACTGGATTAAGTGACGTAACCACCAAGCCACTGTAAAAAGAGGTGGGACAATCAAACCCCTTTGCCAGCAGTGGTTTTTGAAGGACCAGACGTAGCAGGCTTGTGAAGAGCACAAGCAAGCCAGGTTTCTCAGCTGACATACCTTTTCCGTAGTTCCTGTCGAGGCTTAAACATTAAGCCAACACCCAGCTGCTCCACGCTCAGAGCACTGCAGTACTGCCCTGCCACACAGTGACCTTCAGGCCGCCCACACCTCAGCTAATAAGTGCATTTCCCAGTTACCACTTACAAAGAGAAGTTCCTTCTCAGAAAATACAACATTAGTTGATGATTAATTATGCAATGAGCAGGACTCCTTCCCCATCTACTCTTCCCCCCACCGGGATCTGAGGCAGACTGAATCAAGTTATTACCACCTTTATATCCTCAAATAACTCCAGATGCAAACCCTGAAGTCACCTGCCTCTAATTGAGAAGCGGTGACATTAACCTGCAAAAATATAATTAGATGGGGAAGCTCCAGTGCACACCCATTTTACGACGTAGCACCATGAGAGGTTTATTTAACTGAGAAAGAGCTAAAAAAGTAACATCCTCTGGTAACTCCTAAAAGCTTTTTCTCTCTTTATCTTATAAAATGAAGAATAGCTAGTAGTCTTATTGCAGTGCAGTGGCATTATTAATTCATAGGAGCAAATCAACTGAAGTCCCTGATGAAAGTTAAAAGGAGGCTGATCATCTTGGCAAACAGGCTGATGATAGCCTGCTACTTTTACAATCTTATCACACTATTTTTCCCTATTTCTGTAGCCAGTGGTATTTAAAAGAAACAATGTGTAAATCATAACAACAACCAAAAAAAAAGTGGACACCCTGAAAATGAACTGTCCATCTTAGATTGTTACAAAGGTTATAAAGGAAGGCTAACTCCCAGTTAGAAAAATAAAGCTTTTACAATAGGAAGATAAATTCAGGTCTGTCCTTACAATAAATCACAGCAGTAAACACAGGGAAGTTACCTTTCAGGGAGCTGCAAAGAAACACAGACTATTCAGAACATTTACCGTAGACCCAAAATTTTTTTTGGAAGTTAGTCCTTTAGACTTACCACCACATTTCCTCCTGGCCCTTGACTTTGGACAGTTACACCCATCCATTGGTCTTCTTTACTCTCCATCTTCGGGTCAGCTGCAGAGTATCACAATATAGCTTCAAATATGAAATTAACCACTTTTTTCTTTTTTTTTTTTTTAGAAGTCCATCAGGACAGGCACTTCATGCAGTACATGAGACAGTCTGCAGGTGGCAGTGCTGTACATTTTATCACTGACAACACCCATTTTATTAAACACTTCTACCCTATTACTTCATGTCACATCAATCTGTGAAAGAGTAAGAACATCCAAATTGGCCAAGATTTAAGCATCCCATGATATCTTAGCAATTAAGTTACAACTTGTTCTGATGCAAAAAAAGCTAAGTATAAATCCGTAGAAGCAACTCTCTGATAACACTGCCTCTAGAAAGGACCCCATCAAATAAGAAAAATCAGACAACTGTTTCAATCCAGAATAAAAACACTGAAGAACTTACTCTCCTCATCAAATATGACACGTGTGCAGCGTGTATTTGGAGATGCAATGTCACAGCTGTACAGCCCTCCTGTTCTGTTGGCTTGCTGGGATGGAAAGGCCTTTTCTCGAGGAGCTCCAACCAGCAATCTGCAGGGAAAGAGAAATAACTTCAAGGGATCTGTAGAGCGAATATTAGAAAAGAGGAAGGCAACAGAATCAGGAAGTGTTTCCATCATGTTGCTAGAGGTTTGACGTGCAAACATTTGAAGATAGATGAAAAGCTACATTACAGCACTGTTCCTTAAAAAAAAACGAGGGGGTTGGGGGGCAGAGCTGTAAAGCAGTAACAGTTCTGTAATTATTGGACCTGCAAACCAGCAGATGTATTGTTATTACTGTTATTATTGTTGCAATGTTCACAGAGTGGTTGATAAAATAAAAAAAAAGTTCGTGTCTGGCAGTTTTGCAAAGAACATCCTTCTACCAGGGAGTCAAGTGGGTTATTTTTTGCCTTACCAGAACCGGTTGGTAAGGGTGGGAAAAGTATTCTTACTAAAATGACCACAAACCCCCCAAAACAGTGAACACAAGTGCTGTCAGGCTGTCTTCTAGTTTTACGCCAGTCCTATGCCACTGCTCAGCCGAATTTACAGGCACCTTAATATCTCTGACCCATGAAGCAAAGCAAGATCCCTCCTGGTCCAAGCAAGTGTTCACTGAACTATTCCAAGCTCTGTGCAAACATGCAACTCCCCGTCTCCACTCCTTTGGCCAGATACTCCATTTTGAAGCTGAAAATGTTCTTCTCTAACAAATCTCTCATCAGGAACAGGCCATTCCCACAAAGGGCTGATTTCTCCTAGAAAAGGGCCATTCTAACAAGCCTTCCTTGGCCACTGTTTCTGGCAAACAAACGTGAAGACTCTTATTTAAAAAACTGAATAAAGCAAGTTTTTTTCCTGTGTCAACCGTTACCCATGAGTATTATCACAGAACCACCAGTAGATACATTTACTTGCAAAATAAGGGGTTTCAGTCAAAAAAATTCTTACATCATCTATGTTTTTTTGAAGTGTCACATACGAAGCACAGCTGCCTCTCTCAAGCAGCTAACTGAAACCAGTAACAACCAGTATGCAATAGTTTGTGGAAGAAACATCCTGTTCAGCTGAAAAAATGCAGATAAGAGAACAGCATGTGGATCAGTGCAACACAGCAGGTACGATGGATGGACGGATGGATGCTGAACCAGACTCCATGTGTTTCCTGACCCTGGTACAAAACATTTGAGAGAAGAGATCCCTGACATTACACTGTCAAGGAGGGCAAAGCTGGGACTATGGTTGGATCCGCAAGGCTCAAGAGGAACTCAGACCCCCTTTAAGGCTTCAGTTACAGAGTTTTGCTCAAGAGAAAAGCTTTTCCGCATGCTTCATAGCAGCAGTGGGACAAAGCAAACTGCTGCCCCTCAGAATGCTTTTCTAAATAAAAACAAGACTCACTTTTATTCATATCAAACATTTAAGACTGAATCAGTTAAGATCAATACACAATTTCTTAAGAAAACATTTATTCTATGGCACTAAAGCAATGAGACACGAAATTGATATATTATGAGAAAACACACTTTTTTAAAAACAGAAAATTACATCTGTATTCTGACACAGCCAAGTTTTTCACCACTTTTGTAGAAATAAATTCTACCACAATCCACAATTTGCCCTAATGAAGGCAACCCCCCTGAATGGTGAAGCCTTCAGGTAAAATATTTGCTTTTGACTGATACACATATAAAATTAAAACACACAGTGTGGCTGGGGTTTGATTTAAAGCATTTCCTTCTCTTCCCCCTACATATGTCTGGCATCTTTTTCAAAGATTTTTTTCAGAAATGTAGCAGTCATCACAAGAGTTTGTAATCTAAACAACCACGCTTTTAGAAGGGCCATTAATAACTTCATTTTCTAATTTTGGCAACAGTGCATTTAACTGTAATCTCCTAACCTATTTCTTTTGCAAAGCATCTGTTTCTGAGCTATTCCTAATGTGGGAATAGATACATTTTCTCCTCAGTTCTGTTACGCCCCAGGGAAAGACAGACGAAATTTTTAATTTTTCTTTTTTAACATTAACAACCATAGATTTAAGAAAGTAGAGGCACTGATTTCCTAACTTTTAGAAATTTTTATTATTTCTACTTTTTCATTTAAAGCTCGGGGGGTAAAAATGATGTATTGAATTCCACTTACAGAAATTTGATCAGAAACCTTTTGTTTCAACATTGTGAAGACAACTAAAAGCTTCCAGATTTGAAATACTTAATCTGGTTTAATTCACCCATCTACATACTACTGACAGCAGTGGGGCTAGCTCAAGAAAATTATGACCCTGTTCTTTTCTATGGAATAGCTGGACTATATCCTCTCCCTAGCTAAATGATACCTTTTACAACATACCATGATGTGGCCATGACCCTGATGACACTTAAGCCAGAGGGATGACCTACTGAGATACCAGGCAATAAACAGCATAGCCAACAGAAGCTAAAGTAGAAAGATGATATAAACTGGCCCAAACATTCAATGGCATCTCAAACACACCTGTTAAGATCAACAGAGGAAAACCGCAACTGTTCAGCCTTCTTAAGAAAAAGAAAAAAGCCAATCCAACGTGATCTCAAAGGAGACAGGCGACCTTAGATTTTTCCCAGTGCCCAAAACCCTCGTCCAAATCTTGCATGTTACTTTTGCCTAATTCTGCCAAAGTTATTTTCCACTGTAAACAAAGTATTTCAAAGCAGACTTATTTGAAATCCTCCAGACCACAAAGAACTGCTGTCAGGAAGCCTGTCACTAGTCTTCAAGGATCATCAAACACAAAAATCTTGACTCCTCTTAGGTACATCACTGGAAGTCTTTATTCACAGCACAGTTCAATAGCAGCACACAGTATGAACAGGCACTTGCAAAGGATTAGATCAGTTCAAGTAGATACTATGGTAAATCCTGAAATGTATTTTCAAGTAGCAGTCAAAGACCCACTAAAAAGTGGCATAACTCCTTTGTACTTCTTCACTACTCATCTGCCCCAAAGACCACAGCAAAGACGACTAAACCTGTGCTTCCAGGTTCTGCAAGACACTTTACTAGAGATGATGAGGACTATAAACATTATGAGAATTATCAACTTTACTAGGAACGTGAGAGTCATGTGCATCTAATCTTTGGCTGAATAAATCGAGCAAAACATAAAAATCCCTTGTCAAGCACACTGTAACTTGTGATCAACAGAGCTGCTGTTCACCTTGCCTACTGTTCAAGAGGTATGCTTGAAAAATCAGAATTCCGTTACAGAAGCCAAATTACTTAATTTAAAAATAAAAGTGTGCATGAAACTAAGGAAGTATGTCATGGACCATGCACCAGTGTGAATTTCAGCACAACTGCAGCAGTCCAAATGAATCAGCTAGTACACTGAGCCGTGCTACATGCTCAGAGTCCATCCAGTCTGAGGACACATTCCAGTCACTACTGTATGGCTACTTACTCGGCTATGTTTTAACAGAAGAATTTTAATCAAGTTTGAGCTCATTATGACAAAAATGAGTTGGGTTTTTCTGCAGCTATGCATGTTCCATTTTAGTTTTCTCAGTGGCAAGCAATACCTCTTTCTGCAAAAGGGAAAAGGAAAGGGGGTGTGAGTAGGTGCTCTCCTAGCTACCGCTATCTCCCTATATTGGTAGATGAAACACTAAGATTAAAACCAAAGAACTTCCTCTGCAAACTAAGACCAACAAAAATAGGTTCTTCATTTCTCTCCATCCATGATCACAGTACAATTCATTTTATTTACTGAGACTTCTCCCTGAACATGTACGAGGGCTACAGTCACTACTTTTTAATTCAGGTCTGAATGTTCAAAGTCAGGCTCCAGAATCCCTATCTAGACATCAAAATAACACTCCAATGTCAAGACTGCAGAGTAAGAGATGAAAACCCCAGACACTCCATGGGGACATTTTACTGATTTTCTATCCCATGGCAGGTTTGCCTTATTACTATGCAGAGAACAGCTCAGCCATACGGTATACTGAACATAAACATGTCTGAGCATGAGTTCCTGTTGGAGCCATAGCTTTTTAGGATTTGAGTTATGATGACTTAGTTACCTACTGTTTACCATATGAGTCGGACAAAAAAAAATTACTATTCCTCATGTAAATTGCAACATTATTTGCTTCATACTACTTGAATCCTGATTTTTCCCCGTTCACCTTGCTTAAATATATACTATAAAATGATTAGGTTTTCCCTGAGCTGATCAGACTGCACAGGTTTTAAATTAACTTCTATTAATAGTTCATTACATTACATTTCTGTAGATTAAAATAAGTGTCTGTCAAGTGACAATATTGGAAAAAAAAAAATCTGAATTCTCTCATACCCGGCACAAAACTACAATGCTCTTTAGTTCCAGTTATACCCCATAATTAAAACACGTGCCTTCCAATTTCAAACTAAAATTCTAATTTCAAACCAAATAAATCAGTCCTGATGCTCTTTTGGTTAGAATTAGATTAATTATTGCTTTCTCTCAATTACTTCTTGGAGATAGGTGATAATGACTGAAATCCCACTGCCAATTATGAGCATCTGCTGGCTTCCAGGGACAGATTTACTCCCTTACAACCCTGGATTCATGGCCAAACTTGAGATAATCCTATAGGATTAGAGCTCCAGGATTGGCATGTAATGCCAGTTTAACTAATTGATCTCACTGAGACACAATTTTGGCTCAGGTGGATCGTGCCTGCATTGCACAGATGCCAGTGAACCCAGCTGTACCTGCACATATGAGGTGCAGCCACAACGTACAACAACAGGGACAAGGATGAGCCCCCTCTCTCAAGAGAGGGGCCAGTGTAGCACCACATCCCTTCGCGTAACCCTAGGGCATAGCTACACCCACCCTACCTTACTGCAATATTACATTACACCTGAACGCAACAGCGGAGGCAAAAAAACCTCCATCTCATCAGTTATGCTGAGCACTACTCAAGCCTCAGAAAAGGCATCAAGACATCTTACTGACTTGATCTAGATCCGGACCAGACCTTTGGATAACCGTGTATAGAAAACATGCTTTAT